AAGAGAAGAGAAGAGAAGAGAAGAGAAGAGAAGAGAAGAGAAGAGAAGCCTCACTTTCTTCTAGTACTGATGATGTTACCTAGTTGGATAATGAAACATCTACAAGAAAACCGCCAAGCTCAGAGAGCACCGAGGACCCCACAATTCAGCCTTGAGCTATAAACATTCTCCTTTATCAAAAATGACTTTCCTTGATGTCTTCCCAACAGAGGTACTTATTACGACCAATCGGAAAGCTTAATGGTCCTATCCTGTATTTATTTTGAATGGGTATGTCAATGGAAAAACAGTCCTAAAGAAACATTGGAAAGCTACCAGCATAAGATCATGCTGTCTAAATCCCCTAATAATTTAGATTGATAAAGTATCAACCACCTTTCATGACAGACTATGGATCGATCTTCCGGCAATAAATTTCACAATCAAAACAGATCGTATTAATCAAGTTCCTTGTCCGATTCATTGATTGCAAAAATTATACTTTCATGTCATTCATTGCTTGCGCCGTTCATGATTTGCTAGATTTAAAATAGCTCCTCTATCCAGATTCAACCCTCTCTTTCTAGACAACCGTGGTTCGAGTCAAACAACTTGAAAACATACCGGTTCCAATGAACCTTCCCTTCCAAGGTTTGCATCTCGCCGAGGATAGCAAGAAGGAGAGAAGATTTCCCACAGCCAACCTGTCCTACGATCATGGTCATCTGACCTACAAATTAATAAATCAAAATTCAATCCTTTAATACATTCTTTTCTTAAAGTATTCAGTTAATGATTATTCCAACTGGTTGCATATATGTATAAATTATCCTATATTTCAGGAATAGATGCCATTTGCATTCTAAGCTTCTGTTGTCAGCACTTCAAGCTGCATTTAGTCTAGTGCTGACATAAGAAGGAGAAGCGGAGGCGTCTGGACAGGGACGTTTGACTTTTCACCTACTTATTTTCCCTGGAGATAATATCCCCTAGGAGATGGGATGGGAGGGGGGAAATTCCTTTGAGCTGGAGCAGTAGATTAGGGGTAGAGTGACTTGGAAGATGGCTAATGAGTGCAGAGGAGTGGGGAACGGAAAGGGAGGGTTTTGTGTCTGGAAGTCAGTGTTGGCTGCGATGGAGTCGGAATTAGAATGTCGTGTTTAATAAATGGAAGTTTTTCATCAAAGACTTTATTTGAAATGCAATTTATTTGAGATGACCTCGAAACCTGACATCTGTTTTGATTATTGTTTATTTGCAGTGGTGAAATCCAAATTTTTTTACTACCAGTTCTGTGGGCATGGCTTGGTGGGCGTGGCAGGGGATCCCCATTCCCTCCTCACTCCTGGGGGAAGGATATTATAGACTAGAATAGAATAGAGCTGAAAGGGACCTTGGAGGTCTTCTAGTCCAGCCCCCTGTTTAAGCAGGAGAACCTATACTATTTCAGATAAGTGACTGTCCAGTCTCTTCTTAAAAACCTCCAGTGATGGAGCGCCCATGATTTCTGGAGGGAAGCTGTTCCACTGCAAGATCTCCATTCCCACCCCACTCCAGGGGAAGGATATTGCAAGATCTCCATTCCCACCCCAGTCCAGGGGAAGGATATTGCAAGATATCCATTCCCACCCAACTCCTGGGGGAAGGGTATTGCAAAATCTCCATTCACACCCAACTCCTGGGGGAAGGGTATTGCAAAATCTTCATTCCCACCCCACTCTGGGGCCAGCCAGAGGTGGCATTTGCCGGTTCTGCGAACTGCTCAAAATTTCTGCTACCGATTCTCCAGAACCTGTCAGAACCTGCTGGATTTTACCCTGTTTTATTTGGGTTGCCTATTTTGCAATAAAAATTGGGCGGGATAAAAGGAATGGCCATAAATCTCTCAACGGAAGAACTGCTCAGTTAGAAATGAATGTGATCATAGGCAGATTATAGACATCCCATTTATTTCAATGTAGGAGATTTTAAGCAAGAAATCTATGGTTGTCTATTTTGAAGTCTTAAAGACTTAGTCCAGGGATGGCGAACCTTTTAGACACGGAGTGCCAACTGCGCGCACGTGCGTGCCCAAACTGAAAGGTGGATGTGCATGCACGAATGTGCACACGTGTGGACAGGTGCACGCATGCACACACATGTGCGCACGCATCCGCGGACACGCACGCATGTGCAGCAGAGACCCGAAGACCAGCTGGCCAGCGGGAGGCGGGGCATCCCAACACCGGGAGCAAGGCAAGAGGTAAGATCTTTTTCTTTTGTGAGCTTGTTTTGTCGTTTGCAGAGAAACAGAAGCTCACGAAAGAAACGCCACGGAGATTTGACCTGGGGTGACGGCGCGCGTGCCACAGGTTTGCCATCACGAACTTAGTCCGAGAAAATGAAGAAATGACTATAATTTAAGACACTTTTTATATATTTATATATCTACCAGATCTATATGCTGCTCATATCAGTATCTGTGTGACTATGAGTCATTTATAAACTATTTTATAGTCAATCTATGCACGATTTTTTTACATGCTTCTAACTATCTAGAGTAAGTATCTTGAGTCAAACTCAAGGCCTGCAGACTGGATCTGGCCCACGAGGTGCTTAGATCTGGCACGCGGGGCCACCCCGGAAACAGCGAAGGACCAGCCCGTGGTGCAGTGGTGGGTTTCAAAAATTTTTGCTACTGGTTCTGTGGGTGTGGCTTGGTGGGCGTGGCATGGCTTGGTGGGCGTGTCTTGGTGGGGAAGGATACTGTAAAATCTCCTTTCCCACCCCACTCCAGGGGAAGGATACTGTAAAATTCCCATTCCCTCCCCAATCCAGGGGAAGGTTACTGCAAAATCCCCATTTCCTTCTGATCAGCTGGGACTTGGGAGGCAGAGAATAGATGGGGGTGGGGCCAGTCAGAATTTTTACTACCGGTTCTCCAAACTACTCAAAATTTCCGCTACCAGTTCTCCAGAACTGGTCAGAACCTGCTGAAATCCACCTCTGCCATGATGTCTCTGCCAGCAAAAACAGAGCTCGGGAGGGCCACGTGTGGCCCTCCGGACCTCCATTTTTGCTGGCAGAGGGCTGCAGAATGTCAAGATGGCCACGCCCACCCTAGCCATGCCCACTCCCCCCCCCCCCCCCCGAGGTCAAACACAACCCTGATGCGGCCCTCAATGAAATCGAATTTGACACCCTTGATCTAGAGGCAATTTAAAATTGCCTTTCGCGCTTTCCGAAAGGCCCTGAAGACTTATTTATTCCAACAAGCTGGCCTAGCTTAAATGGTTTTAATGGGGTTTTTAAATTTTTGATTTTATTGATTCTGGGTTTTAAATTGGGAACTTTTCGATTTTGCAGGTCTTGGATTTTAAATTGGAAATGCCGATGATTTAATTTATTTCAGTTTTTTCTTAACTTTTGTACTATATGTGTTTTAAGTTTGACTGTCCACCGCCCTGAGTCCCCCTGGGGAGAAGGGCGGTATATAAATTGAATAAATAAATAAATAAATAAATAAATAAATAAATAAATAAATAAATAAATAAATAAATAAATAAATAAAATGTGCTGAACACGATGGCATTAAACATGCAAGATTTATTTACCTGCTGGGATTCGGATATCAATATCGGATAATGTGGCTAGCCCACTTCCCCAGGAAAAGTACCCGTTGGTTACCTGCAATGCATAATATCGCACATTAGAAACTGCAAACAGATGCATGTCATAATTATGTTGTAGTTAACAGGCAAGCATGTCTGTTACTCTTACAAACCAGGTTGGGATAACAAAGCTTTTTCAAAAAGAGATTTTGAAATGCCACAAGAGTAAAAGATACTCAAGGGAATTAAAAAAAAATGGGTGTGCTACATCATAAACATGGTTTCCAAAACTTTCCAATATTTAGAATGCCAGTTTAAGTACAAAACAATTCCTTTCAATTAAGATGAGTACAAGCAATAAATGAAGGGAAAAAACCCCCTTTATGGTAAAAATCTGGTTGACAGTCTGTTTCCAACTGCAATTTAAAGTGTCGTGATAACCTTTAAAGCCCTTCACTCATAGCCTGGGCCCTAGTTCCTCAAAGGCAGAGGTGGGTACATTCCTCCCAGCAATGTACATGATCGCCATCTGGATGTTTGGCACCCGGGTTCGAATTTATGACTGGTTACCAAATGCCCTGGGATCAGGCGATTGCTATTTGCAAGCTGGCTCTTCTGCCAGCTTCCCCAGAAAGTCAATGGGGAAGACGGCAGAGAAGATTGCAAGCTGTTGCTGCCCGCCACGAGGACTCCCTCTCTCATCTCTTGGGGATTGCTGAAAGAGCTGCCTAGTGAGGGAACCTGACATCCTCCTATGGGGGGGCAGGCCGCACCCCTGCATTTCCTTCCACACATGAGGGGGAGGCGATATCTTTTGGCAGTAACTCTTTCAGTCAGCCCCTAGAGACAAGAGGGAGTCAAATCTAAGCAGAGAACAGAGAGGCAGCATCAGAGGTGGGTTTCAGCAGGTTCTGACCAGTTCTGGAGAACTGGTACGGAAATTTTGAGTAGTTCGGAGAATCAGTAGTAAAAATTCTAACTGGCCCCACCCCCATCTATTCTCTGCCTCCCGAGTCCCAGCTGATCTGGAGGAAATGGGGGTTTAATCTTCCCCTGGAGTGAGAAGGGAATGGAGATTTTACAGTATCCTTCCCCTGCCACGCCCACCAAGCCCTGCCACGCCCACCAAGCCACAATCACAGAATCGTTATTAAAAAGATTTGAAACCCACCGCTGCTTAAGGGGCCATTTCATCCCATTGGGATTGGCTTGCCCCACCTGTGCTGGCAGAGAAGGCATGCTGTGGGGCCCCTTGGCCGGAGTAGTCCGGCAGGTGGGGTCCAGAAGAGTTTTCTCTGTCATTGCATCTACCCAATGAAACTTCTTGCTCCGTGGGGCAAGGTCAGCTCCAACTCTCCTGACCTTCCATAAGAGCCTAAAGACCTGGTTCTGCCAGCTGGCTTGGGGCTCCAAAGGAGGGGCTTCTGTCAGAGTATGTTCATCAACTGGAATAGGACATGGTAACAAGGTCAGCCAATGTATAGGCATAGCAACTAAGTCAGCCAATGAGGGCTGTTTGGAAGCTGAGACAGACTGGAGCCTTAGTCTGCAGCAACTGAGTCTGTGCAGAAGTTTAACTGCCCTGTACAGAGGAGACTCTCTTTGTATTAAGCTCTGAGCTCTGAAGCTGCAAACTTGTCTGTCTGCTGTATTGTCTGCTTGTGTTTTGCTTGTAACTGCTACGTTGGAAGATATCTGCTATTGGTATTGTAAATTTACTTCATGTATTATTATGTATATAAAGAAGTTAATGAACCCTGCTGAATCAGTTTACCTGTGTGTGCTTTCTGGATTATTTCTGCAACAAACTCTGACAGCTTCATGTTGGAAGGGATTTATAGATTAATATCAAATCCCGCCTCCCTCTGCTCATCCTATTTGCAAATTGACTTTACCTTTCAGCTATTGTATTTTGTACTTTTATATACTTTTGTAGCATTTTATTTATACAGGTAGTCCTTGACTTATGATGACAACTGAGCTCAAAATTCCTGTTGTTGAGTGAGGCATTTGTTAAGTGAGTTTTGCCCCATTTTATGACCTTTCTTTGCTTCAGCTGTTAAGTAAATCACTGCAGTTGATAAGTTAGTAACCCAGTTGTTAAGTGAATCTGGCTTAACAACCCCCCCCCATTGACTCTGCTTGTTGGAAGGTCGCAAAAGGGGATGCCATGACCCTGGGACACAGCAACGGTCATAAATATGAACCAGTTGCCAAGCATCTGAATTTTGATCACATGACCATGGGAATGCTACAAATGTCGGAAGCATGAAAAACAGTCCTAAGTCACTTTTTTCAGTGCCGTTGTAACAGTCACGAAATGAACTGTTGTAAGTCAAGGACCACCTGTATAATTTTGTCTTTTTAATATTGTAAGCTGCCAGAGTTATCTTGTGGTAAGATGGACAGTCAATAAATTGGATGGATGGAGAGAGGGAGGGAGGGATCAATCAATCAATAGAATCTTCCACACCAGAGATTCATCTTAAGTGAAGACAAAGATATTAGACATCCCCACGTTGAGGAACTAGTATTTAAAGAAAAGGACACCTGCTTCCAGATCAGGATGGAAATTAACTACAGAAGGTCCATCTCAGCTGGATTATCAGAAAACACACTTAAGGTTTGATGAGAAAATATTGGATTGATCGCTCTATTTTAAAACACAAGGCACCTTGATAGCACACTCATCGATGGTTAGATGTTGAGTGGATATCCTTTGCGGTTGATCATAGCCATCCAGCTGGTGTCTCAAGGGCTGTTTCCGGTTGATGGCTTTGGGATGCTTCAGACATGGACAAAAAGAAATGAAGAAAGGAGAAAGGGCTTTACCTCCACCTGATTACTGAAGACGATAACTTCAATATTATCAAAACAACAACCTCAGAAAGGGTGTTTTACAGCTTATAAAGCAGGGGTGAAATGCTACCAGTTCAGGCCAGTTCGCCTGAACCGGTAGTAAAAAATGCTACGGGTTCGCTGAACCGGTAGTAAAAAAAGTTTTAAAAAAAGTTCTGACAATCAGCTGAGCGATGCATGATCATCGGAACTTTCTTTGTACTTTTTTAGCATTTTTTTTACTACCTATTTGCTGGAATTGGTAGTAAAAAAATGCTTTTAAAAGGTAAAAAAAGGCTCCGACGATCACAGCTGTGCCGTGTGATCATCAGAACCTTTTTCTTACTTTCTTAAGGTATTTTTTACTACCTATTCGCCTGAGCCAGTAGTAAAAAATGCTTTTAAAAAGTTTAAAAAAAGGTTCCCACATGCGCCACAGCTGATCACACCCCCCCCCATGCTGTTCTAGTTACCTTCCCAAGCCTCCTTTTGGTGCGCACTGCATGTGTGCATACACAGCTCGTGTTTGGTGCGCACTGTGCATGCATGTGCGCAGCTCGCATTTGGTGCATGGCGTGTATGCGCGGCCAGCGAACCGGTTCAGATTTCATCACTGCTATAAAGTACTTTGAGATGCCATAAAATGTCACGCCCTCCCTCCCGGCAATGTACATGATCGCCATCTGGATGTTTGGCACCCGGGTTCGAATTTATGACTGGTTACCAAACGCCCTGGGATCAGGCGATTGCTATTTGCAAGCTGGCTCTTCTGCCAGCTTCCCCAGAAAGTCAATGGGGAAGACGGCAGAGAAGATTGCAAGCTGTTGCTGCCCGCCAAGAGGACTCCCTCTCTCATTTCTTGGGGATTGCTGAAAGAGCTGCCTAATGAGGGAACCTGACATCCTCCTACGGGAGGGCAGAAATATAGTTCAGATCCAGATAATTTGCGCAACGTTGCCGCACCCCTGCCAAAGGCATTTCCTTCCACATATGAAGGGGAGGCAATATCTTTTGGCAGTCAATTCTTTCAGTCAGCCCCTAGAGCAGTGAGGGCTAACCTTTTTGCCGTCATGTGCCAAAAGCGGGGGGAGCAGGGTGGGTCATGGGTGCGGGTGCCCACATCCATAATTCAATGCGCCTCGCCCTCCCGCGCATGTGCATGTGACCTCCCCCCACTTCACCCCGCTTTTGGCATGCGATGGCACGGTGGACCCAGTAGGCCCGTTTTTCCCCCTCCCCAGGCTCCAGAGGCTTTCTAGGAGCCTGAGGAGGGCAAAAACAGCCTTCCCCATCCTCCCGGAGGCCTTCTGGAGGCCGGAAACAGCCAGTTTTCCGACTTCCGGTGGGACCAGAAGGCCTGAAAATCAGTTGGCCGGTGTATGCATGTGTGCTGGGGCTGAGCTCGGGCAACACTCGCATGCCCACCAATATGGCTCTGCGTGCCACCTGTGGCACCCATGCCATAGATTCGCCATCACAGCCCTAGAGATAAGAGGGAGTCAAATCTAAGCAGAGAACAGAGAGGCAGCACAATAAGTGAAGTAACACAGGGTATCTCAGGCAGATGGGGGAAACCCTGAAAGGCCTAATGCTGAATTTCAGTGGGTTTTTCAGCTCAGGTAAAGCTTCTCAGGTTCCTGCCCTCCACCAGCACTCGATCTTCATTACCTGGGACTCTGTCCATTAAAAAAAAATAATTTTTGGTCATTTAATGACCCCATAATCCCTTGCGGGGTGGAATCTGGGCAACTGAATGGAGCTGAGTGTTTACTGGCCGGATGCCCTTCCTGTCGCCAATGAGGAGTTTTGTTCAGCAGATATATTCTCATTGTGCCCAGAGAGAGAAATATCTGCCTCTACCTAGGATTGAACTCACAGCCTCCTGATTGTGAGGTGAGAGCTCCACGTCTAGGCCACCGCACCACTCACTCTGTCCATTTAATGACTTGTGCAATCACTTAATGACCATAACCAGAAGTGCCAGGATTGGAGTTGTTGAGTGAAGCAATCATGTGGCATCTCTCTTAACATTTGCTTCACTCAACAACTAAGATTCCAGGCTCAGTTATGGTGGTAAGTGGAGGACTTCCTATCTAGGTTCTTTCCCTCATCTTCTTTCCTGGAATGGATCAGATCTTGTTTCATGTTTTAAATTGGACTTTTAATGCTATTTAGTGATATTGTTTTTATTGTCATTTTATACTTGTGAGCTGCCCCGAGTCCTTTGGGAGAAGGGCGGCATATAAATTTTAATAAAATAAAATAAAAAAATAAATGTTCCCTAAGTTCTTTTAAATCAAGATACTTAGTGGTCTGTTTTCATCACTGCTGGTCCAAAGTCCAGATGAAAAAAGAGAGAAAGACTGATTATTCAGCTAGCAATCTGCCTTATAAAACATTTTCACCTCTACTGAAATAATAGATACAGTTCAATGAGACCTGATAAAAAACCGCCATGTTTCTCAAGCTTGGCAGCGTTAAAATATACTTCAACTCCCAAAATTCCCCAGCCAGTATGCTGACTGTGGAATTCTGGGAGTAGAAGTCCATACATTTTAAAGTTGCCAAGGTTACGAAACACTGCCCTAGAGCAATCATTGCCCGAGTGTTATTTATTTATATTGTATTGTAGCTTTTAATTTTGTTGTTTGACATTGTGAGCTTTCCAGAATCATTAATGCGGCCGCGCGAGGGATTAGGGAGCAACGGGGTGCTCCCATGTGACTCCTCTCCTGCGCGAGCTGCATTGGCTTCCGGTGGACTTCCGGGTGTGCTTCAAGGTGTGGGTGATCACCTTTAAAGCGCTCCATGGCTTAGGGCCGGGGTACTTACGGGACCGTCTTCTGCCACCAATTGCCTCTCACCGGCCAGTTCACTCCCACAGAGAGGGCCTCCTCAGGGTGCCGTCGGCCAGATAATGTCGGCTGGCGACCCCCAGGGGGAGAGCCTTCTCTGTGGTGGCACCTACCCTCTGGAACAATCTACCCCCAGAGATACGAGTGATCCCAGGCCTCCGGACTTTTCGTCGGGCCCTTAAAACCTACTTCTTTCAGTTAGCCGGGCTGTCCTGATTTTATGTTGGGCTTTTAAAATTTGAAATTAGTTTTAAATTGAAATGTTTTAAATTATGGGCCAAACTCATTTAATTATTTTAAATCTATTTTAACTTTTGTGTACAAGTGTTTTACTTTGGCTGTTCACCGCCCTGAGTCCGAAAGGAGAAGGGCGGTATAGAAATCTGATAAAATTAATTAATTAATTAATTAAAATCATGTAGTGCCTAAACCTAAACCTCAATTAATCTGGGGACAGCCCAGTCTTCTATATTTATGTTACTTTGCAATTAATTATCAAAATTAATAATCAGTTCTTAGCTATTAAAATGTAGCATTATTTTTTTACTGTTAAGAACCTCATTCATTTAAGTGAGACCATTCTGTAGTCTCCAGAGTTCTTATAAAAAATAATATGGGGAATTGGCTATCAGTAGACTTAAATCTGTAATATATTTTGAAGCTTAAAATAAAAGAAGAAGGAAGAAGAAGAAGAAGAAGAAGAAGAAGAAGAAGAAGAAGAAGAAGAAGTAGTATAGTAGTAGTAGTAGTAGTAGTAGTAGTAGTAGTAGTAGTAGAATCCCTTACTAGTCCTGTGTGCTTTTTACACGATTCATATGCCAATGGGGTCTCTCCATTTCTCCAGCTGTCATCTCCGATCTCATCACTTAAGAGAAATTCATTTAATTTCTGCACACTAGAAAACAGAAAGAAAGAAAAAAACTAGTGATAACACACAAAATTGTTAAGATACTTTTATGGTGTTGTGAGCTCTCCATCACTGGAGGTTTTTAAGAAGAGATTGGATAACCATTTGTCCGGAATGGTAGAGGGCAGTGATGGTTAAGCTTTTTGCCATAGTGTGCCAGGAGCCGGCGGGGGGGGAGGGTCGTGCGCATGCATGCCCACACCCATGATTCTATACACCCCGCCCCCATGCATGTGCACGCTCCCTTCTGCTGCCCCCCCTCCCCGCTCCTGGCATGTGATGGCACAGTGGGCCCGATAGGCTCATTTTTCTCTCTCTCCAGGCTCCAGAGCCTTTCTAGGCTGAGGAGGGCGAAAATGGTCTTCACCACCCCTTCGGAGGCCCTCCGGAGGCAGGAAACAGCCTTTTCCCCTTTTTCCGGTCGGCAGTTACCTCCTTGCAAGCAAACAGCAAGAAAAAACAACCCCATTCAGCTTCAGCATAGGCACAAGTTGATTAGATCGGCCTCCCGACTCTCAGCTGATTAGCTTTCAGCTGTTTTGCGCAGGCTCTTTTGCAAGTTCTTGGTTTGCAAGCTCTTTGCTTGCTGCAAAGAGTGCTGGAGCAGTTTTTTTTTTCCCTAGCTAAAACGAAACTGAAAGTAAAGCAGGCTCTGCTGCAAGGTGACAAAATGAGGCAGGGAGAGAGATTTCTTTTTCTTTTTGCTCACCAAAAAGGTAGGTGCAAACAATGGGAAATTTCGGGCAAAATAGGAGAGTTCAAGATTTTAAAACACAAAAGAAAAAAAGGTCTATTTAACTAGGGAACTGTAATAATTGAGATGCTATTAATTGTATATTGTGTTGAAAGCAGAAATGGTTAAGTTATGGTTTGGAGGAATATATGGGGGAAATTATTTGGTTTATTATTATTGGTAAATATAATTAATTGATGTAGAAGGAAATGAAGCGCCAAACATTATTTATCCTCCTGCAATTATTTTGGCTGTTAAGGGCAAAACAGAGAAAATTAATCTTTGAAAAAGTTGAGCTTTGTCTTGGCAAACACTGAACCTCTTGGCAAACACTGAACCTCTTCATCTGAACTACCCACAATGCAATGGACCTGCTGGTTTTGGAATTACAGGATGCTAAATATAGCGTACGCACAGTGAGGAATCTTGTTCCTTTATACAACATTAAGATTTATTTTTTCTTTTCTTTTCTTTTGGACTGTTTGGAAGGAAGAAGAACAAAATACCATGTTTAGAATTTAAAAAGGAGCTTTTGTCTAGGTTTCTTGTGGTTTCTTTGCGCATTCCCACCCGACTGATTTTGTGGGATTTGAAAAAAAAAAAAGGTTTGAGTCTTTTTTATCAGTTTGTTATACTTTTTTTTTCCAGCATCCATATTTTTTTTCCAGAATGTTCTCTGATGCAGAGACATTCAGAGACATTTCGGGTGAAGAACAAAAGCTAAAATTAAACAAAAGAACGGAGCTGTGTCTAAGCAAAACCTAATTTACTTTTGGAAGAGCTCTTTACAGCCTGTCCTCCATCTTAGCTCCATCCATAATTGTTGAATGATTTTGTCTCAAGGTATCAGCTGCCATGGGGCATCCATGCTTGAATGTACGCAGAGCATTGGGGTGGGGGGAATCGTCCCAAGAAGAATTAATCATCTAAAAAACTTCCAGTGATAAGGCACATTTACTGAACAAATCAGATTTATTGGACAAGCCACAAATTTGGTCAGATAAGTAGACTGAATAGCGTCATTTATTCTGGTACGATTCCCAGCTATGAACATTTTGTAAATATTCAAGATATGGACCATGATGTATGAACAGAAGTTATGGGGAAAAAAATACTGCATTCCGGCGTCCCGATATAGCCAGCTGATGCCATCGCTGGCTATTGGGGGCGAATCACTCGCCCCCACGGAGAGGGCTCGTAACTTGGGCGTCCCCCTGGACGCACGGCTGTCTTTAGAAGATCATTTGACGGCCGTGGCCAGGGGGGCTTTTTATCAGGTTCGCCTGATACGCCAGTTGCGCCCCTTTCTAGATCGGGACTCCCTACGCACAGTCACTCAGGCACTCGTCACTTCCCGCCTGGACTACTGCAACATTCTCTACATGGGGCTCCCCCTGGGGTGCACCCGGAGGCTCCAGCTGGTCCAGAACGTGGCCGCGCGGGGGATTATAGGGGCGACGAGGCGCTCCCATGTGACACCTCTCCTGCGTGAGCTGCACTGGCTCCCGGTGGTCTTCCGGGTGCGCTTCAAGGTGTTGGTGACCACCTTTAAAGCACTCCATGGCTTAGGGCCGGGGTACCTACGAGACCGCCTTCTGCCACCAATAGCCTCCCACCGGCCAGTACGCTCGCACAGAGCGGGCCTCCTCAGACAATGTTGGCTGGCGACCCCCAGGGGGAGAGCCTTCTCTGTGACGGCGCCCACCCTCTGGAACAACCTCCCCCCAGAGATACGTACAATAACAGACCTCCAGATTTTTCGTCGGGCCCTATTTATTTCAACTAGCTGGGCTGGCTTGAGTTAAATTTTAAATTGATTTTAAATTAGGTTGTTTTAATTTATGGCCAAAATATTTAATTATTTTAAACTGTTTTTAAATTTTGTATGTCCTGTTTTTTACTTTGGCTGTTCACCGCCCTGAGTCCTATTTGGAGAAGGTTGGTATAGAAATTGAAACAAACAAACAAACAAACAAACAAACAAACAAACAAACAAACAAGCAAACAAACAAACAAATAAAAGGTGTTTAACAGAAATGTAATTTGGGGATCAAATAAATGATGCTAATTTATTTATTCTGCTTGTCACAATACGTCTTTTCTGATATACAGATAGTCCTGGACTTACAATTGTTAAGTCCAAACTATTCGTTGCTAAGCAAGACAGTTGTGAAATGAGTTTTGCCGCATTTTACAACCTTTCTTGCCATAGTTGTTAAATGAAATGCTGCGGTTGTTAAATTAATAACACGGTTGTTAACTGGATCTGGCTTCTCCATTGACTTTGCCTGTCAGAAGGTCACAAAAGGTGATCACATGACCCCGGGAACCTGCAACCGTCATAAATATGAATCAGTTGCTAAGCATCCAAATTTTGCTTAGCAAATAGAAATTTTGGGGGTCAACTGTGCTTGTAAGTCGAGGACTACTTGTCAAGCTCTCGTAATACTGCATTCATACATGCAGTCACAATGATGAAGATGGTCATGGGAATCCACTCTTTGAAGAAACATCAGGAATGTTCCGTGATCTCCACAAGTCCACTTACTTGGAAGAAGGCATAATGGTGAGGTTGTCCCATTGGGCAAACCCCAATTTACAGGGGTTGCCACAAAGAAGAGGGAGTCAAGCAGGGGTGAAATTCAGCAGGTTCTGACAGGTCCTGGAGAACCGGTAGCGGAAATTTTGAGTAGTTCGGAGAACCAGCAAATACCATCTCTGGCTGGCCCCAGAGTGGGGTGGGAATGGAGATTTTGCAATATCCTTCCCCCAGGAGTGGGGAGGAAATGGGGATTTTGCAGTATCCTTCCCCTGCCACGCCCACCAAGCCACACCCACAGAGCCGGTAGTAAAAAAATTTAGATTTCACCACTGGAGTCAAGCTATTCTCCAAAGCACCTGAGGGCAGGACAAGAAGCAATGGATGGAAACTAATCAAGGAGAGAAGCAACTTAGAACTAAGGAGAAATTTCCTACACAGTTAGAACAATTAATCAGTGGAACAACTTGCCTCCAGAAGTTATAAATGCTCCAACATTGGAAGTTTTTAAGAAGATATTGGATAACCATTTGTCTGAAGTGGTGTAGGGTTTCCTGCTTGAGCAGGGGTTGGACTAGAAGACCTCCAAGGTCCCTTCCAACTCTTGTTACTCTATTCTATTCTATTCTATTCTATTCTATTCTATTCTATTCTATTCTATTCTATTCTATTCTATTCTATTCTATTCTATTCTATTCCATTCCATTCCATTCCATTCCATTCTATTCTATTCTATTCTATTCTATTCTATTCTATTCCATTCCATTCCATTCCATTCCACTCCACTCCACTCCACTCTACCCTACCCTACCCTATGCTAATCTAGTCTAGTCTAGTCTATTTCAATATAGTTTATTGGTTAAATTGTAACTGCTCTGTTTTAAAGCATTATATCACCTACCTTACGATGGCCTTGACAGCAAATCTAACAACGGTGGACAGCAGGAACAAGGGTGTGACCAGAATGTGGAACAGCGAGAGAGACGCAAAAGCTTGAGCTGTAGTCAGCTGTGCATCTTCAGCATATGTGTAGGTCACAAAAGTCTGGTAGAACAAGAAAAGAAGATACGGGTAGGAGGCAAAGAAAGCATGAGATCTTAAACTCAATTCAAAGACCACTTGATGTTCTTCTTTATATTTTCTACCTAGGTGGTGGGATGACCTCCATATTTCTGCAGCTATCAGCTTCTAAACCCCCTCCTCTCCTGTATCTATGTATCCCCACGAAGTGTCTTTAAATCAGGGTCCTCTACAGCAGCTGTCACTCAGGGGGAAATAGAGCTGCTTTAACGAGTTGCAGAGGACTGTACGAGAAATCAAATTCAAATTCGTTGCTAGCCTTATTCACACACCCTTCCTTTCAAGAACTATGGATGTAAATTGAACGTACATCAAAACTGCAAACTGGTATTATTATTTTTTTATTATTATTATTTATTGAATTTGTATACCGCCCTACTCCCGAAGGACTCAGGGCGGTGAACAGCCAAATAAAATACATATAATACAAATGTTAAAAAACCATTAAAATACAATTAAATAATTGGCCCGAAAAACAAAATTTAAAACACCCCAATTCATAAGACTAATTTAAAATTTAAGAATTTTAAAAAGTTTAAAAGAGAGGTTAGGCCAGGCCGGCCTGCTGGAAAAGAAATGTTTTGATGGCACGGCGGAAAGCGCGCAGGTCCGGGATCCTCCGTATCTCCGGGGGGAGCTCGTTCCAGATGGCGGGTGCCCCCACAGAGAAGGCTCTCCCCCTCGGTAAAAGGAACACACTGCCCTGTAGCAAGGCAAGCTGTGTCCCTTTTGTATATGCATTGTGATGTTGCATCGATACAAAAAAGGGATAGAATTCACATCATTTAAGAAATATCTGGCATATAGATGCCCCTCTGCCTTTATTCCTTGGATTCACGGATCTTTCCTATGGTAGTTTTTAAGTGCTGGACTTTGCTCGTCATTATAACGTATTTCCTGTAGAGAAACCTTCTTTATTGCGATAAGTATAAAATTTGCTCCACTAATTCTATTTATCTCGCCTTTATTATTTTTGCAAGTTAGTCAAACATAGCCAACATACCTTCGTCCTCCTATTTTCCTCACACAACAACAACCTGTGAGGTGGCGTAAGGCTGAGAGAGACGGACTGGCCCAAAGCCACCCAGTTGGCTTTCATGGCTAAAGTGGGACTAGAACTCACGCTCTCCTGGTGATTGGTTCAAAGTCACTGGTTTTCATGGTTAAGGCAGGACTTGAACTCATGGCCTCCTGTTTTCTAGCCTGGTTGCCTTAACCACTGGACCAAATTGACTCCAATCCTTGCTAAAATCAGATTTCTACTCTTTGGACACCAAAACGCCCTGATTTATATTTCAAGAAATAGAGATTATTGGAAAAAATAAAGATCCCAAGTATATATTTTACATTGACATGCATCAACCCACCCACTCCCAAAAATCATTCTTACCGCGAGAACAGCTGCAATAGGTATAGCTGCATTCATAAAAACTGTGGGGGAAAAAAATAAACACAAACCATCCATTCGTTGGATATGCCAAATATTTCAGAATCTGTACAGCACAATGTTTCAATATTATTTTCTGCTAGAAATTTTTTTTAAAATACTGGACTTCTCTTTAAGAGGGAAAAAAATTCTTTTCACATCAAACAAAAACAAACTGGAAATATTTTACTGTTTGTATATTTTATTGCATCGGAGAACATATTCCCAGGAGACCTTGAACGTTTTAAATGCAACTCTGTGAGAAAAGGAATTATTTGAAATTATGGTAGTGTATTAGCTGAAGCCCTAGAGAGCTCCTTAAAACTACAAACAAACCCATTTATCATGCTTTCATAGACGTGGTCTCAGTAATTGCTAATGTAAACCCAACTCATGTCACCAAGTTTAAAAGGAACTCTTCGGAATTATTTGGAGACAGTTGCCACGCATCTCAGGGTATGAGAAAAGCAAAAAGAGGTCAGGAGATCATTTTTACTGGATTGGGGTCTCTTTTTTTTCCTTAGTCAAGGGAAATATTAACTCATAAACTTCATTCTGGGACACAGGAAGTGTCACAAGCCTGCAAAATGAATACAGACATGTGGGAAACATAACATTTTCACTGCGTGCGATTCCTCTGTTCAGAGTTGAAACGGAGAGGAAATTGAATTTTAGAAATAAACAGAACCTAAACTAACCTAAACAATAGCAAACGTGTCCCCATAGACCTGTGATGGCGAACCTATGGCAGGCATGCCCGAAGTGACATGTGGAGCCATGTCGCCTGGCACGCGTGGCGTCACCCATTCCTTTTCCGGGTTTCTGGCGCATATGCGCATGCAACAATCAGCTGCCCTTTGTGCGTGCGGCAGTGCTGGAAACCGGAAGAGATGGTCTTCCGTTTTCTGACATGAGCATGCGCAGCAGTAACTAGAAGACTTGCTGGCTGGCGCACATGCGTGCACTGGAAACCAGAAGTATCTTATCCAGCACGCACATGCCCCCCCCCCCCGGGCAGCTCCTCTTCCTGGTCGCGGCCCTGACGAGCATGCATGCACACACACCAGTGCCGAAAAGGTTCTCCATCATTCCCATAGACTCTAGTTCAGTGGTGGGTTGCCCCCGGTTCAGACCGGTTCGCAAGAACCGGTAGGAAAACCAGCAGGAGGCTCTGCCCACTGACCTGGACGTCATCATAGGTGATCTGCAATGCGAACCGGTAGTAAATGTAAGTAGAACCCACCCCTGTTCCTATTTGTCTGCTACAGAATATATTCTGTAGCAGACAAATAGGAGCAGGGGTGGGTTCTACTTACATAGGGCTGGAAGGGAGCTTGGAGATCTTCTAGTCCAATCTCCTCCTCAAGGCAGGAGACCTTATAGCAGCCTGGTCAAATGGTTAAGTTGGACATTCCTAGTTCCTGCAACTGTTCATCATACAATTTAGCCTCCTCCAGACCCTTTATCATCTTTGTTGGTCTTCTCTGCACATCTTCCAGGGTTTCAACGTCTATTTTGTATCATGGCGACCAAGAACTCTACGCAACATTCCAAGTGTGGCCTCACTACTGTAGTATAAAATGGTATTATGGCTTCTCATGATCTTGATGTCTTTCCTTCTGTTGATACAGCCCAGGATTGCATTGGCGAAGATTAGAGCATCAAATTCAGGGACTAAACTGGGGCTCTCCAAACTTGGCAACTGATGGACTTCAACTCCCAGAATTCCTGAGCCAAAATAGCCTCCTCCTATTTCCCTGCCCCAACAACAATCCTGTGAGGTGAGTTGGACTGGCCCAAAGTCACTCAGCCAGTTCTGCCTTTCAAAGGCAGGACTGGAACTCACTGTCTCCTGGTGATTGGCCCAAAGTCACCCAGCCGGCGTTCATGCTTAAGGCGGGACTAGAACCCACAGTCTCTTGGTGATTGGCCCAAAGTCACCCAGCTGGTTTTCATGCTTAAGGCGGGACTAGAACCCACAATCTCCTGGTGATTGGCCCAAAGTCACCCAGCTGGCTTTCATGGGTACAGCCAGACTAGAACTCACAGTCTCCTGGTTTCTAGCCTGGTGCCTTAACCACTAGACCAGATTGGCTCTCTGATGCACTCAGTATTGCTGTAGACTGAATTCTTATCTTTCTGTGACAAAACATGAGTTAATTTTATTATTTATATTTATTTATTAATTTAATTTGTATACCGCCCTTCTCCCAGAAGGGACTCAGGGCGGTGAACAGCCAAAATTAAAAAACATACAAATGCAAAAGTTAAGATAATTAAAAGAATTAAATCATTGGCTACCCAAATTTAAAACCCCAAATCCATAAAATTTAAAATCCCAATTAAAAAACCATTTAGGCTAGGCCGGCTTGATGAAATAAAAACGTCTTCAGGGCTTTACGGAAGGTCCGGAGGTCCGGGATCAATCGTATTCCAGGAGGCAGCTCATTCCACAGGGCGGGTGCCCCCACAGAGAAGGCTCGCCCCCTGGGGGCCGCCAGCCGACATTGCCTGACCGACGGCACCCCGAGGAGGCCCTCTCTGTGAGAGCGTATTGGCCGGTGGGAGGTTATCGGTAGCAGCAGGCGGTCTCGCAAATACCCTGGCCCTAAGCCATGGAGCGCTTTAAGGGTGGTAACCAACACCTTGAAGGGCACCCAGAAGACCACTGGGAGCCAATGCAGCTCGCGCAGGAGAGGTGTTACGTGGGAGCGCCACGTCGCTCCCATAATCACCCGCGCGGCCGCATTCTGCACCAGCTGGAGCCTCCGGGTGCTCCTCAGGGGGAGCCCCATGTAGAGAGCGTTACAGTAGTCCAGGCATGACGTAACCAAGGCATGAGTGACTGTGCACAAGGAGTCCCGATCCAGAAAGGGGCGCAACTGGCGTATCAGGCGAACCTGATAAAAAGCCCCCCTGGCCACGGCCGTCATATGCTCTTCTAAAGACAGCCGTGTGTCCAGGAGGACGCCCAAGTTGCGAGCCCCCTCTGTGGGGGTCAGTGACTCGCCCCCAATAGCCAGCGATGGCACCAGCTGGCTATACCGGGACGCCGGCATCCACAGCCACTCGGTCTTGGAAGGGTTAAGCCGAAGCCTGTTCCTCCCCATCCAGACCCGCACGGCCTCCAGACACTGGGACAACACTTCGAGGGCATCATTGGGGTGGTCTGGGGTGGAAATGTACAGCTGAGTGTCATCAGCGTACAGATGGCATCGCACCCCAAAACCACGGATGATCTCACCCAGCGGCTTCACATAAATGTTGAACAGGAGCAGCGAGAGGACCGACCCTTGCGGCACCCCGCAAGCAAGGCGCCTCGAGGTCGACCTCTGACCCCCTGCCAACACAGACTGCGACCGGTCAGAGAGATAGGAGGAGAACCACCGCAACACGGTGCCTCCCACCCCCAGTCCCTCCAGCCGGCGCAGCATGATACCATGGTTGATGGTATCAAAAGCCGCTGAGAGGTCTAACAGGACCAGAACAGAGGAACAACCCCTGTCCCGAGCCCTCCAGAGATCATCCACCAATGCGACCAATGCCGTCTCCGTGCTGTACCCAGGCCTGAAGCCGGACTGGCACGGATCTAGATAGACGGTTTCATCCAGGAACTGTGGGAGCTGTCACGCAACCACACTCTCCACAACCTTCGCAACAAAGCGAAGGTTGGAGTCCGGACAATAGTTTGCCAAAACGGCCGGGTCCAGAGAAGGCTTCTTGAGGAGGGGCCTCACCACCGCCTCTTTCAAGGCGGGAGGCAAGAAACCCTCTCTCAGAGAAGCATTTATGATCCTCTGGAGCCAGCCTCGTGTTACCTCCCGGGTGGCCAGTACCAGCCAGGAGGGGCACGGGTCCAATAAACATGTGGTTGCGTTTAACCTCCCCAGGATCCTGTCCACGTCCTCAGGAGTCACAGGGTCGAACTCATCCCAGGTAACATTCTCTAGACCAGCCTCAGTCACCCCGCCGGGATCTACCCAGTCAGAGTCCAAGCCTTCCCGAATCTGAGCGATTTTATCGTGCAGATACTGTGCAAAATCCTCAGCCTGCCCTTGCAAGGGGTCTTCCCGCGCTCCCTGATATAGGAGGGAGTGGGTCACCCTAAACAAGGTGGCTGGGCGGTTATCTGCCGATGCAATAAGAGCGGAAAAGTGGTTACGCTTTGCCGCTTTTATCGCCACTAGATAGGTCTTAATATGAGACCTAACTAGTGTTCGGTCGGATTCAGAGCGACTAGCCCTCCAACCACTCTCTAGGCGTCTTTTCCGGCGCTTCATCTCCCTCAGCTCCTCGGAAAACCAAGGGGCCGGGCAGGTTCGGCGTTGGGTCAGAGGCCGCAAAGGCACGACTCGGTCCAGAGCACCGGCGGCTGTCCTATCCCAGGCAGCCACCAGATCTTCAGCCGAGTCGTGAGCCAGAGTTTCAGGAACTGGCCCAAGCTCCCTCTGGAACCTATCAAGATCCATCAGGTGCCTGGGGCGGAACCACCTGGTCGGTTCCGCCTCCCTGCAGTGGGGTGCAGCGGTCGAAAGGTCCAGTCTCAGGAGAGAATGGTCTGACCATGACAGGGGTTCAATAACTATATCCCCTATATCCAGACCACTCCGCCACTGACCAGAGATAAAAACCAAGTCCAGAGTGTGTCCTCCCACGTGAGTGGGGCCATGAATTAATTGTGTCAGGTCTATGGCTGTCATGGAAGCCATAAACTCCCGAGCCATCCCAGATGCCCCACCGGTAGATGGCAGGTTGAAATCCCCCATGACCAAAAGTCTGGGGGTATCAACCGCCACCCCGGCAATAACGTTGAGAAGCTCGAGCAGGGCCGCTGTCACGTGGCAGGGAGCCAGGTACGCGATCAGCAGGCCCACCTGCATCCCATGGCCCCACTTCACCAGGAGAGACTCACATCCAGCTATCTGAGGTACAGTGGCCTCCCTCGGATCAAGACCTTCCTTTATAATGACCGCCACCCCCCCACCCTTGCCCTGGGCCCTTGGCTGATGGAATGCGCGGAAACCTGGTGGGCACATCTCTACGAGGGGGACCCCCCCCTCTTGGCCCAACCAGGTCTCTGTAATACCTGCCAGGTCCGCACCCCCCTCCTGTATTAGCTCACAAATGAGGGGGGCCTTATTAACCACGGACCTGGCGTTGCACAACATCAGTCTAAGGCCTGGGCTCTGAGACTCTGGACAGCCGGGGAGACGAGAAGAGTCATGGGGGCCGAGGCATGCCACCGCTTGAAGATAGTTTTCTGTTTTAAAAAAAACCAAAACACAAAATTTATGAACCTCCCTAAAGAAGCCACCCTCTGTTAGTCTTTGGATAGCAGTTAATATCAAATAAAGAAATTAAATAAGGCAGACCAATACAATGTCAACAACTACTTACTGGAAAGAGACGTATAAAGAGCAAACGTTTTGAGACTAGTTAGTTCTTTCATCCGTGTATCTTCCACATTTTGACAGAAGACGTGCTCCCAGGCGTATAACTTTAAGAGTTTGATGCCTTTTAATATTTCATTGGTCTTCTTCAGCCTCTCTGTAGAATATTCCTTGTTCCATAAAAAGGAAAGAGATGCAGAAAAATAAAATGGTACTAATGTCAGGGGTGGGTTGCTACCAGTTCGCCCCAGTTTGGGCAAACCGGTAGCAGCAGAGGTGGGAGGCTCCGCCCACCCGCCCAGACGTCATCAAAAACACTGTGCACATGCGCAAAACCTATGCATGTGCAGGAGCGCCACACACTCGCAAATTGCGCGCCCGTGCCCACAGGCTCCCAATAGCGAACTGGTAGCGCCGGGATTTGAATCCCACTACTGATTAATGTCATTTTAAGGGGGGAAAAATTACTGGAGTCAATGACAGAATTTTATGAGAAAACGGCCTTTATATCTTTGAGGTCTGCCTTCCTCAGGCTGATATATACCCATGTGTCAAACGACAATTGCCATCATCCTCAGCTACCATGATCACACTGACTTGAAGTGACAGGATGTATAAGCCAACAAATCTTCATTTGTTTTAGTCTCCAGGCCTTAAATCATCTTAGTTGCTCTTCTTTGCACTTTTTCCAAAGTCTCAACATCTTTTTGGTAACGTGGTGACCAAATCTGGATGCAGTATTCCAGGTGTGGCCTTACTAAGGCTTTATAAAGTGGTACTAATACTTGTTACTTGGATTTTATGCCCCTCCTTAATCCAGGGGTCAGCAACCTCTGGCTCTGAAGCCGCATGTGGCTCTTTCACCTCTCTGCTGAGGCTCCCTGTCACTCAAAATATGCATCACAACCGCCAATGTGCGACACCCGCTTGCACACGATTTATTGAGCTTTTCAACCCCCAGTAGGCCAACCATGGATGAATCCAAGAAAAGAAAAGTTTCAGAAGAAAACAGAACATTTAATTCGATTACATATGCCAGTTTTGTGGCCGCTCAAGAAATACTCAGGCATGGGAAGGGTTTTGTGGCTCCCGGTGTTTTCTTTTCTGTGGGAAACAGGTCCAAATGGCTCTCTGAGTGTTTAAGGCTGCAGACCCCTGCCTTAATCTCTTAATCTCTGGAAGTTTTTAAGAAGAGATTGGAGAACGATTTGTCTGAATGGTATAGAGTTTCCTGCTTGAGCAGGAGGTTGGACTAGAAGACCTCCAAGGTCCCTTCCAACTCTGTCATTCTGTGCTGTATGCATCAGCTTGATTGGACAACATCTTGGTTTTGAGACTAAGACAAATTTGAATGACACATGTGCTCTGGTTCAAGAAGAAGAACTTTTGGCAACTCACATTAAAAAAAACACAAATAGAATGAAACAAGAATAACTTACAAGAGTACTTTTTTGGGCCTCGGCCAACTTGGTTGCGATGAAATACTGGATGGGAGCCAGCAGTAAAATCACAGCGGCCCCCACCACCGCACTCCTTCCCAGTAAGTGGTAGAGTAGGATCACTCCCATAATAATCTACAAAAAATAGGGGAAAGGAGAAGGACTTAGATATTTGCACGTAACTGCACCGATTTTTGACTGGAGATGTAAAAACAGCTCCAGGTGTTGGAACGATTAAAAAAAGGAAAAGCCACTCTTATAGTCTTTGAAAGATCTGCCATGTTTTAGGCGTGGTTTACAATTTTAAAAGTTAACAAATATATAGGTATTAGAACTGGGCAAATCATATGAAGGTTACAACTTAAAGCACATGGGGGTGAATGGACTATGGTACCTCCAACTGTTGCAGCATCTGCATCTTTCAGATGGGAATGCTCTCCTGATGTGGTACCCCAAATACTTTAGCTATATGTGCATGTGTACCAAATCATCTGGAGATGAGTTCAACACAAGGGAAGGTTTATTCTACGGTAACCACTGTGGTGGCGCAGTGGTTAGAATCACTGGTGGGTTGCCCCCGGTTCGGACCAGTTCACAAGAACCGGTAGTAAAACTGGTGGGAGGTTCCGCCCACTGCCCTGGATGTCATCATAGGCAATCTGTACATGCGCAAAAGCTTCTGCACATGTGTAGAAGCTTGGCGGGCGCAAGAGCAAAGCATTGGCGCACACACGATCCCGTTGCGAACTAGTAGTAAAGGTAAGTAGAACCCACCCCTGATTAGAATGCAGTATTGCAGGCAAACTCTGCATTCCACTGCCAGGAGTTCGATCCTGGCTGGGTCAAGGTTGACTCAGCTTTCCATCCTTCCGAGGTTGATAAAATGAAGACCAAGATTATTGGGAGCAATATGCTGATATTTGTAAACCGCCGTAGTGGCACAGTGGTTAGAATGTAGTACTGTAGGCTACTTCTGCTGCCAGCAGTTTGGCAGTTCGATCTTGACTGGCTCAATTTGACTCAGCCTTCCATCCTTCTGAGGTCGGTAAAATGAGAACCCAGATTGTTAAGGGTGATAGGCTGAATCTGTATGTATGTATGTATGTATGTATGTATGTATGTATGTATGTATGTATGTATGTATTTATTTATTTATTTATTTATTTATTTATTTATTTATTTATTTATTTATTTATTTATTGGTTCGATTTATATGCCGCCCTTCTCCGGAGACTCAGCGCAGCTTACAATGTGTTAAGCAATAGCCTTCATACTTTTGTATATACCTGCTTAGTAGGGCTTTTGGCCCCCTCTAAGCGGTGTTCTTTTTTATACAAAGTCATCTTATTGCCCCCACAATCCGGGTCCTCATTTTACCTACCTCGAAAGGATGGAAGGCTGAGTCAACCTTGAGCCTGGTGAGATTTGAACTTGCAGTAATTGCAGGCAGCTGGTGCTATTTAATAGCACTTTAGTCTGCTGCACCACCAAGGCTCTGTAAACTGTTTAGAGAGGGCTGCAAAGCACTGTGAAGCAGCATATAAGTCTAAGTGCTATTGCTTGTTGTTGTTAGTCACAAAGTCATGTCTGACCCATTGCAACCCCATAGACAATGTTCTTCCAGGCCTTCCTCTCCTCTACCATCCCCAGGAGTCCATTTAAGCTCACGCCTACTGCTTCAGTGACTCCATCCAGCCACCTCGTCTCTGCCGTCCCCTTCTTCTATTGCCCTCCATCTTTCCCAGCATTAGGCTCTTCTCCAGTGAGTCCTTCCTTCTCATTAGGTGGCCAAAGGATTTGAGTTTCCTCTTCAGGATCTGGCCTTCTAAAGAGCAGTCAGGGTTGATCTCCTCTAGGACTGACCGGTTGGATCGCCTTGCAGTCCAAGGGACTTGCAGGAGTCTTCTCCAGCACCAGAGTTCAAAGGCCTCAATTCTTTGGCACTTAGCCTTCCTTATGGTCCAACTTTCACAGCCATCCCTTGCAACTGGGAAAACCATAGCCTTGAGTATACACACTTTTGTTGGCATGGTGCTATTGCTATTTATCCTTTTTAATGCCTTGAAGGCAGGAGTTGAAACCCTGAGCTTGCACAAAATCGGTCAGTTATGTGGGTAACCCACTTTATGACTGTCACAACTTACAACCGTAGTGGACGGGCTTCATTAAAGTCATAAGCTGAGGACTGCCTTAATTAGGATCAAATCTGATTTATTTCAGTTTATACAATAATCAAACTGAATATTAGATTTGTGTGTCTCTGAAATCAGATGAGGCATACAGATGTCATCAGCATACACCAGCATATAGCATCTGATCTGCCCGTCTCCCCGATTCCATTAAAGTTTTTAAGAATTCCTGTCAGTCTTTTTTTTTTTTTTTTAATTTGATTTATATGCCGCCCTTCTCCGGAGACTCAGGGCAGCTTACAATGCGTTAAGCAATAGCCTTCATACTTTTGTATATTTTATACAAAGTCAGCTTATTGCCCCCACAAACTGGGTCCTCATTTCACCTACCTTAGAAAGGATGGAAGGCTGAGTCAACCTTGAGCCTTGGAGAGATTCAAACCAGCAGAAATTGCAGGCAGCTGTGTTAATAACAGGGTGCGTAGACCACTGTACTATCAAGGCTCTTAAACCACAGTTTAAGTAAGGACAACATCTTTAGAGGATATCTCAACAAGTCATGTATTTTACCAACAAGAGGGTGCATTATTATTAATCACTCAGGATTTTGGATTGAAACACAGTTATTAATCACTTGTGACTTGATACACAAAAATACATGATATAGTTGCCAATGACAACTATACACACTTTTGTTTATTTATCCTTTTTAAATTTTATTTAATTCACTCTGGGAAATGTTACACTACAAGCTTCAACCATGAACAATGTTTGTTAATTGAGGATTATGGGAACTGAATACCATAACTCCAGAGTACAGGTAGTCCTCAACTTATGACCACGATTGAGTCCAAAATTTCTGTTGCTAAGTGAAACATTTGTTAAGTGAGTTTTGCCCCATTTTATGACCTTTCTTGCCACAGCTGTTAATTGAATCATTGCATTTGTTAAATTAGTAATCTGGTTGTTAAGTGAACCTGGCTTACTCATTGAGTTTGCTTGTCAGAAGATTGCAAAAGGGGATCGCATGGATCCCTGGACACTGTAACCGTCATAAATATGAGTCAGCTGCCAAGCATCTGAATTTTGACCACGTAGCCATGGGGATGCTGCAATGGTCATAAGTGTGAAAAACGGTCGTGAGTCACTTTTTTCAGTGCCATTGTAACTTTGAATGGTCACTAAATGAGTTGTTGTAAGTCAAGGACTACCTGTACATTGCAAAGTTAATGTAATTTGTAGCTTATTCATGAGTTTCTCATCCTTGGCAAGTTTACGATGTGTGGACTTCAACTCCCAGCATACTGGTTGACTGGGGAATTCTGGGAGCTGAAGTCCAGACATCTTCAAGTTGCCAAGATTTTAAAACACTGACTTATTCCATACTATCTGAGGTAAAAATGAACTTGTTGTTCTTCATCGTATCAGTGAGGATGGGACTCTTTTTAAGGGCTGGGCATCCTTCAGTTTCAGTCATATATTCTCTCTCCAAAACACTCAATCAAAATTAAATCTGTTGCTTTTTCCAAAAATTTGGCCCTTACTTCGATGCTCTACCTGAACGGGCATAGCCCACAAGTTGGGACACAGGAACAAGAACCACATAAGTTGGTTTGTTTCTATGGCAACCAGGTTATTGATCTGTCCTAATGTCATCTCTCCCATGGACAAATTAGATGTGGAAAGCCTCAGGATTTTGTTGTAGATCATTGCCTAGGAAAAGAAGCAAGAAAAACACCAGTGAGTATTTGGAATTTCAGCATCAGAAATCACAACCGGTACAAGCTCATCACAATGTAAGGGAGCCATCATGTGCGCTGTAGTTCCAGTTTAAAATTTTAGAACCATAAGTTGGGACCATTCCTCCGAAATTCTGGAAATTTCTACTCATCAGTCTAGGGAGCATCGTTTCATGGAAGGCTGGTTTATAAAATGGTCCATCTTAGATTCTGTGCAGTTTGGAGACCCCCAAATACCACTCCTGGCCCGCCCACCCACTCCCAGGAGTCCCCACGCAGCCCGTTTTGGATGCAGGTAAGTGCAGGGCATGCACAGAGGCTCGGGGCAGGTAAAAAACAGGCCTACTGGACATCCGAGCCCATTTACGGCCTCCAGAGCCTGGGAAGGCCGTTTTTGCCCTCCTGGACGCTTGAGAAAAGCCTCTAGAGCCTGGGGAGGGCAAAAACACCCCTCCGCCATGGTGTAGGAGGCCGACTAGGCCACACCCACCATGGCCACGCCCACCCAGCAACCAGGCAGAGAACCCCTTGTAAAATTTTTGAAGCCCACCCCTGATTAAAATCCTTATCAAAGCCTACAAGGGGATGAAATTAAAGTCACTATTCACCAGTAAAGCTCCTCGTAGGTTGATGCCAGTTTCTATGGTAACGTAATAGGAAGCCTGGAGAAATGTCCTCTGTAGGATAAGCGCCAGGAAGAGGAGAACAGCCAGGACATAATTGTCTTTGAGGAAATCTCTTGAGGTGAGGAATGGCTCTGTAGATGTCTTTGGAGTGAAGAGAAAGAAGCCACTTCAGAAAGCTTTGAAAGCATTCTCCAACCATGAAAGGAACAATTATGACCATCACCTACTTCAACTGTATCCAACCTTGGCAACTTTAAGGCTTGTGGACTTCAACTCCCAGAGTTGGCTAGTGTTGTGGTCCGCCAGCAGACCATGTGTATATCTGTGTTATATATGTATTTGGGTAGATATAGACTTTCTGTTGTGGCCCGCCAGCGGCCAGCAGAGCTGGTGCAGATTCAGACAGTGAGGAGGTTGGGGAGGAACATGGGCCAGTCCTGGAGTCTGAGGAAGGCTCTGATGAGGGCTCTGCACCAGAGGCAGAGATGGGGCCAGGGCCATCTGACAGTTGTCAGCTGCCTTCGGAGTCAGACATCAGTGGGGCAGAAGAAAGCTGGAGCCTGTTCCCAGTGTGCACATGTGCAGAGCTGCCAGAAGGGAACAGCTAAGGAACAAGGGTCGACTCAGGAGTAAAGCCACAGGTGGACGGTGAATGGCCCCTCCCATAGGGAATAAAGAGGAGCGAAGGGGAGGGGAGTTTGCAGGAGACAATTAGTTCGCTTAATTGGGTCGTGACTCTCCGTGACTCCTTGCCAAGTTTTGAAGATATTGGCCTGGCAGCTCTCCAAGACAGATTAAGGTCTGTGACTGTATATTCTCCCTTGAAAGACTTTGCTGGATGTGAATGAGAGGAATTCACAGTAACTTAATAAAAAGGGCTTTTTTGTCGGGACAAGGAGTCTGCTTCGTGGTTTAGGAAGCCTAGGTCAGAACAGCTGGTTGGGGAATTCTGGGAGTTGAAGTCCCCAAATCTTAAAGTGGCCAAGGTTGGACAGATCTGACCTAAATAGAGAATATGAATCAAGTAATAGAGCAATTGTATACTAGTCTCTTCAGTACTATATTTCAATTCAGGAAGGTTATTCTAAATTTAAGTAACAAAGATAGAAGGGACCTTGGAAGTCTTCTAGTCCAATCCCCTGCTCAGGCAGGAAACCCTATCCTATTTCAGACAAATGGCTGTCCAATCTCTTCTTAAAAATCTCCAATGTTGGTGCACCCACAACTTCTGAAGGCAAGTCATTCCACTGATGAATTGTTCTCACTATCAGGAAATTTCTCCTTAGTTCTAGGTTGCTTCTCTCCTTGATTAGTTTCCATCCATTGCGTCTTCTGCCATTTGATGCCGTAGAAAATAAGTTGATCCCCAGATTAAAAAGTAAAGGTAAAGGCTCGCCTTGCACATATGTGCTAGTTCTTCCTGACTCTAGGGGGCGGTGCTCATCCTCGTTTGAAAGCCGAAGAGCCAGCGCTGTCCGAAGACATCTCCGTGGTCATGTGGCAGGCATGACTAAATGCCAAAGGAACACGGAACACTGTTACCTTCTCACAAAGGTAGTCCCTATTTTTCTACTTGCATTTTTTACGTGCTTTCGAACTGCTTGGTTGGCAGAAGCTGGGATAAGTAACGGGAGCTCACCCCGTTATGCAGCAGTAGGGATTTGAACTGCTGAACTGCCAACCTTTCAATCGACAAGCTCAGCATCTTAGCCACTGAGCCACCGCGTCTCTGGTATGTTCCCCCCCCCCCCCCCCGGTCCTTCTTTTCACCAGATTAAATCTACCCAATTCCTGCATCCGTAACCCCAGGTTTTTCCCAGGATGAAAAAACGGATGAGCAGAGGCAGGAAAGAGGAGGAAATGCTGATTAAGGACATCCAGAGGCAAATACACAAATAAATAGTCTAGACCATTATACCTGCTGGAATGGTTAACTTACATTGCTGGTATTGTTGCCTGTAGAATTGCCTGGATTGGTGGATAAACTGTCAATGATGCCTGAAATGCAAAGCGGTCCAGCAAACCCCAGAAGGTCTGCTAAATAGCGGAAGGTACTGCTGAGAAGAATGGGGCGCCCAAACGCCCGATACATCGCTAACCAGATAGAAGGAGTACGGTTTGGATGGTCAGCTGCCTTTTTCTGAAAAGAAAAAAAAAAAGGAATTCAATAAATAATGATTGAATAATGATTAATCAATCGTGATTATTAATAATTAAAATTAGGTAAAGATAAATGCTTTCCCTGTATGCTGAAGTGGGAAGAAGGCTGTTACCTTCCCATCGAAGTGGTACCTATTTATCTACTCGCATTTGCATGCTTTCAAACTGCTAGATGGACAGGAGCTGGAGCAAGGAACGAGAGCTCACCCCGTCACGCAGTTCTCAAACCTGGGCTGTTGATCTTCCAGCGGACAAGCTTAACGTCTTTAACCACTGAGCCATCATGCCCCCCTAACAATTAAAACCAATAAGTAAATGCAAAACTTTTTTAAAAAAGTAATTTAAAAGCTAGAAAAAATTTAAAAGCTAGCTAGAAAAATAACTAATTATAAGCATGTTAGGCATCTATGCACTCTACGTGGGGCTGCCCTTGAAGACAATCCAGAAGCTTTCAGCTGGTCCAGAATGTACCGTTTTGGGTACCCTGTCATTATCTGAGTCACACCAGAGCTGCTTCACCAGCATTGGGTCCCAATTGCTTTTCAGGTGCAATTCAAGGTGCTGGTTATCAGCTTTAGAGCCCTACATGTAACAAAGTTAAATTATTTGCAATATTGTGGGGTCCTTGTTGCTCTCTGAGCTTGGTTGGTTTTTTGAAGACATTTCATTACCCAACTAGGCAACACCATCAATGTAGCACTGATCGGTGTAGTTTTGATGATGTTACTAGTTGGGTATAATAAAATATGTGCAAGAAAATAGCCAAGCTCAGAGAGCGCCAAGGACACTGTAGTTGAACCTTGTGCTACAATATTGTCTTCTGTGGGCGTTTGCCTCTATCCTTTTAGCCTTTGTAAGTGTGAAAAATAGTCATAAGTCATTTTTTTTTCAATGGCATTCTAACTAAATGAATGAGCGGTGCGGTGTGCCTAGAGGTGGAGCTCTGGCCTTACAATCAGGAGGCTGTGAGTTCGATCCTAGGTAGAGGCAGATATTTCTCTCTCCGGGCACAATGAGAATATATCTGCTGGAAAAAAAACTCCGCTTTGGCAACAGGAAAGGCATCTGGCCAGTAAAACACTCAGCTCCATTCAGTTGCTCAGACACCACCCCGCAAGGGATTACGGGCTCATTAAAAGAAAAAAAATTCTAACTAAGTGCCAGGGTGGATTTGATTTAAATCGACTTGATTTAAATCAAAATTTAAATCATGATTTAAATCACTAGTAAGGCTTGATTTAAATCAACTCGATTTAAATCATAATTTTTAAAGAGCAACTGTCATCTCTGCTACTCCTTTGACCCACTGTTGACTCACCGATAGTCCCAGTGTTGCAGAATATACAGCCTCATGCTACATAACTAAGCTCCATTTCATGCTGAATAAACTAAATTATTTATGTATCTTAAATAGAAAACTATCTTACGATAGATTTTTACCCCAAAAGTTTTTTATTAAAATAAATTCGACAAAAATAAAAAAAAATCCGATTTAAATCAAAAAAATCTGATTTTTTTGATTTTTTAAAAAAAATCATTGATTTTTATCCACCCTGCTAAGTGCAAAAGCAATGGAATTAAAATTAAATTAAATTAAATGCCCACAATAGGCATGAGGGAACCAGCCCAACCTCAGAGTAATGCAGAAAGAATGAAAGATCCATTATTATTCATATTACTGAAGACTAAAAGTATCCATTGTCAATGATAATATTATTTGCTTCTGTTCTTTTTTTACCCAGGTAAACAGAAAACATCAAAGCATTTCAGACCAAGATTTGCCAAATTCACAATGGATATACTGGGTGACAACTTCCATTAATCTCAGCCAAAATAATCTTTCGGAGTTACAATGCATCCACATGGCGATATTCCAAGGAGACATGGCTGACAACATACTTGGATGTTTGCGTTGTAGAAAATCTGAGTCATCTGTCATCCTTGCCAAGTAATATTGTACTAAATCATAGTTGTTTGGCTATGTAATTTACTCCCCATAACGTGTCCTATTTATCTACCGGATTTTTTGGACTATATAAGACACACGGGACTTTAAGACGCATCTAAATTTAGAAGAGGAAAACAACAACAAAAAGTTTTTGGCCTCCACAAGCCCCATTTTCAACCCTTTTTTTTCTGCCCGTTTTCAAGGCTTTTTTCTGCCCGTTTTCAAGGCTTTTTTCTGCCTGTTTTCGAGGCTTTTTTCTGCCCATTTTCAAGGCCTTTTTCTGCCCGTTTTCAAGGCTTTTTTCTGCCCGTTTTTGAGGCTTTTTTGGCCTATTTTTGAGGCTTTTCTGGCCCATTTTTGAGGCTTTGGGGCACATTTTTGAGGCTTTTTTCAACCCATTTTTAAGGCTTTTTCTGGCCTGTTTTTGAGGATTTTTGGCCCATTTTGAGGGCTTTTTTTGGCCCGTTTTGAGGGCTTTTTTCGGCCCGTTTTTGAGGTTTTTTGACCCATTTTTGAGGCTTTTTTGGCCCATTTTTTCTGAAAAAAACGGGCCAAAAAAAGCCTCAAAAACACGCCAAAAGACGCCCTAAAAATGGGCTGAAAAAAGCACTGAAAATGGGCCGAAAAAAGGCCTGAAAAAAGCCGGACAAAGCCCCGAAAACAGGGCGTGTGGAGGCCCAAAAAGCACCCAGTGGGTGGGCGGGGCTTTGGTAATATTCAGTCTCTAAGATGCACTGACATTTTCACCCCCTTTTGGGAGACCAAAAAGTGTGTCTTATAGTCTGATAAATACGGTACTTGGAACTGTGGAAATCTAGAAGATGATTTTAAAAATGTAAATGAGTTGAAGATGCAAGAAGTTGCAAACATCCTGCTGAAAAATATGGAAATTAGCCTAAAATTAGAAAGAGCTTGGGAAGAGCTGTTCTCTGCTTAAATTTAACATTTTGAAATTCCATCCTCTTTTCCTACCCTATTCATTTTCTCATCTCTTTGCTCTTTTTTTCTTCCATTCCCCGCCACCCTCTCCTTTTTCCCACTAGAACTACCCATGTCCTTTTTCTCATCTTCATCCTGCAACTTGCTTTCTCCTATGGCAGAAAGTCCTCAACTTACAACAGTTAGTCCTCGACTTACAACAGTTCATTTAGTGACCGTTCGAAGTTACAACGGCACTGAAAAAAAGTGACTTTCACATTTACGACCATTGTGGCATTTCCACGGTCACGTGATGAAAATTGGCTCATATTTATGACGGTTGCAGTGTCCTGGGGCCATGCGATCACTTTTGCGACCTTATGACATGCAAAGTGAACGGGGAAACCAGATTCACTTAACAACTGTGTTACTAACGTAACAACATCAATGATTCACTTAATAACTGTGGCAAGAAAGGTCGTAAAATGGGGCAAAGTTCACCTAACAAATGTCTCGCTTAGCGACAGAAACTTCGGGCCCAATTGTGGTTGTAAGTCGAGGACTACCTATATTTTAATAAGTTGAATATTTACATATAAGCACACACATATACAGGTTTGTCACATGAACACCGATGGGATTTAGAGACTAATTTCTGCTAGGATTGACAAGCATAAAAAGTGGAAAACTGGGTTTAGAAATTTGGTTTGTAATTTCCTTGAAAAGCCCCCATTCTTTCTTTTAAATTCAGGATTGTTTTTCTATTTGGTATATAGAATGGGTGCTACTGAAAATTGCTTCCCTTTTTCCACTTGGTTTGGAAATCCAAACCAGATTCTGGAAGAATTACATCAAAAAGCCAACATCTTTGACTTAGAATGAAAATAATAATTATTAAATACCATGTTTCCCCCAAAATAAGACCGTCTTATAAGTTTGAACCCCAAAATAAGCACTTGGCCTTATTTTCGGGGGAGGACTTATTATTTTGGGGCACGTAGAGCAAGACAGAGCTCCTCTTGCTGTCTTACCTGACTTCCACCTCTGTCTCCCTAATCCTAACCAGACGAAATGGCAGGGACCAGCTGCACATATGCTTAAATATTTTCGGGGAGGGCTTATTTTCTCACGGGGGGGGTATTTTTGAGGAGGGCTTATTGTAGCGCATGCACTCAAAAGCCTGATTGGGCTTATTATTTGGGGAGGTCTTATTTTCAGGGAAACAGGGTATAATAATTTATTAATTATATTATATAAATATTGTACAAATATGACTTAGGCTTAGAATAACTTTATTGTCACTTTGAACGTACACTAATCGGCATACATTAAAATGAAATTTCGTTGCACACAGCTCTCAAAGGGTCGCCACCTCCAATATAAACAACATGAATATAACTAAATAAATAAATAAATAAATACCAAATTATGCATATACCCACATATATTATATGACACAGAGAAACAACATGGTCTAGTTTGGATGTACAAATGTGAGTTTGTACATCTTGTGAGTTTATTTTAATAATTTTATTTTTTTTAAAAAATAATTTTAATAACTTCATAATGATTAAATAATTATTCAAGGAATTACCTTTTGCTCCTCGTAGGCATCTTTCAAGCAGACATAGTTAGTAAGTGCCCTCATTGCAATGGGCAGCTTGCCTATGGCTTTTAGGTCGATGGGTTTTTTGTGAGCTGATATGATCAGGGGATTCATCCACCAATAAGTTGCCTTGGACAGCAAGTTGACAAAAGGCTGAAGGAATCTCACACCCAGATCCTGGAGGTCTTCAGGCGGCTTTACTTTTTGAGGGCTTGAGAAAAATACATATTTCTGGGGGATAAGACACAGAGAACAGGATGCGTTCATCATTAGCTTGCGATGAAAATATATTTTGCTACTTGAAAGAGAACAGCATGTGGTCCAGAGCTTGTTTCAGTGGTGATATTCAGCCGGTTCTATCCAGTTCGGGCGAATTGGTAGCAGCGGCTGCGGGAGGCTCCGCCCACCCGCCCAGACGTCATCATGTCCCATTTATCCACGTTTTTGATGCTCTGCGCATGCGCGGAAGGCACTTTTGCGAACCGGTAGCGAAGGTAAGTGAATACCACCCCTGGCCTGTTTGATCAAGTGATGAAGGCACCAGGTTAGAAACCAGGAGACTGTGTGAGTTCTAGTCTCACCTTAGGCGTGAAAACCGGCTGGGTGACTTCAGGCCAGTCACAAGGAGACTCTGAGTTCTAGTCCAAGAGACCATAAATTCTAGTCCCACCTTAGGCGTGAAAGCCGGCTAGGTGACTTTGGGCCGATCACTCCCTCTCAGCCCAACCCATATCAACAAGATTATTGTATAGCACAGTGGTGTCAAACTTGATTTCATTGAGGGCCGCATCAGGGTTGTGTTTGACCTTGGGGGGCCGGGCGGGTGTGGTAGGGGTGGGTTTGGCCAGCTCGACATCATTCCTGAAGCTCTCTGCCAGCAAAATCGGAGAGGGCCTGTACACACCTTCCCGAGCTCCATTTTTGGTGGCAGAGGGCTGCAGGAGGCTGTTGTGGCCGGAAATGGAGCTCGGGAGGCCACACGTGGCCCTCCTGAGCTCTGTTTTAGCTGGCAGAGGCATCACGGGCCAGTCCTTCACTGTTTCCAGGGCGGCCCACGGGCCAAATCTAAGCACCACACAGGCCAGATCCAGCCTGCGGGCCTTGAGTTTGACACCCTGGTATAGGAGGAGGGACAGTGTTGAAATTCAGCTGGCTCTATCCGGATCGCACGATCCGATAGCGCCGGTGGCGGAGGCTCCACCCACCCACCCAGACATCATCACGTTCCATTTTTGACACTCTGCACATGCACAGAAGGTTCTGCACATGTGTGGAGGAGGCACGTGCTCACATTTGCAAACCGGTAGTGAAGGTAAGTGAATAGCACCTCTGAGGAGGAAGTATTAGATATGTTTTCCCCCAGGAGTTATTTATAAAAATAGTAGTGTGATAAAAATAAATAAATATAAACCAATCACTGTATGGCACCCACATTCACTCAAGTAAAGGTGCTCAGCACCCAAAGACAGCCAAGGTATTTTGGCACCTGAATCAATATAATAATTTTAAAAAATCTAGCTTATTTCTGGTATAAAAGATCACGTAAGAATGTTAAGTGGAAGAATAAATTTGTAGCAGAAGATCCAAACAAAATAAATACTAAGGAACTGGTAAGGGTGTGTTTGTGATACCCTGTTCAATGCACCACTAATTATTCTTTTTGAGTTAGTTTTTTTTAAGAAAGATGAATGCCCCCAAATCTGGAAAACAGAACACTTGGCTTTTAGCAAAGGCTAAATCAACCATCTTCAACCGGGCATTCTCCAGCGTTCAAAACCCAAAATTCCCAGACAGCACTGGGCATATAACCAAAACACATCTAAAGCATGCTGGTTGGAAAGGACTGGATTAACCTTCCCCATTTGCCCGTGATTTGTTGAGGACAGTGGTGGGACTTGAATAATTTAACAACTGGTTCTCTGGCTGGGTAGGCGTGGCCGGTTGGTCATATGACGGGGTGGGTGATGTCACACATCATACACAGCCCCGCCTCCCAGCCACTCGCCTAAAAGGCAGGAAGGATTCAGACGGTTGGGGCTAATCCCATCACTGGCTGGCCCCTCCCCCGCCTGTTTTTCGGCCTGTTTTATGGGCCATTTTCAGGCCATTTTCAGCCATTTTTAGGGCTGTTTTCAGGCCGTTCTTGGCTCATTTTCAGGCTGTTTTTCAGCCCATTTTCTGTCCGGAAAAAGGCCAGAAAATGTCTTGGAAAACAGTCTGGAAAACAGCCTGAAAAACGAGCGGGGGCAGGGTCAGCCAGGGGTGGGATTTGCCAGTTCGCCAAACTGTGCAGAATCTTTTATTTTATTTAAAAAGTTTTTTTTTATTTTATAAACAAACAATACATAATCATTCAGTATATCTTCTGAATACATCTTTTGTGTCTTCTTTTTACTCCTCCAGTATTTATCATATCTTAATATTATCATTTCATTTATTATGACATTTCCCCCACATTTCTTACTTCTCTATTAATACATTTATCTATCTTTTAATTTTATTAAAAATTAGACAACAATTTTATCCCCATACAACCTTCAACCCCACCCTTCCCACGCCCACCCCCCAACTTCCCAGAGCAAAAACAGGGTATAACATTAAACAAACATAAGCTAAAATATGCTAATTTACTACAAGATTCAAAACTCCCTCACACTCTTTAACTCCCCTTTTAAAAATTATTCATCAACCTCCCTTTTATAAATTCTCTTATCACATTTCACATCTGTTACTAAAATCCTTTCCATACCTTCTTTTTCAGCATTACTCCCTAATAAAATTCTAAATTAAACATTTATCCTCTTTGGTCATTCATAAACCACTTGCCAATTTCTGTTTATTCAACATTACTCCCTTGTAAAATTCTAAATTAAACATTTTAAAATTTTCTTTAAAGCATGTCTTTTTTAAAAAAAAAGTCAATAAAACATTCTTCAGAATATAAAGATACTGTTAATCCATTGGGTTAAGTTATTTCTAACTCTTAATTTCATTCTTCAAAGTATAAATTTCAAAACTTTCAGGAAGGATAACTTTTAAAAAGCTATCCATTTTTAGTTAAACATTTTTACTTCAATAAAACATTATTCAAAATATAACCCTCAAAAGGCTATCCCTTAAATTATATCCAAAACTAAATATAATAAAACACTTCCTTTACATCAAACTGCGCAGAATCTTAACTACCGGTTCACTTAAACCAGTGTGAACCGGCAGCAGCCCACCTCTGGCTGAGGAACAGTACATGATATTGAGGAACAAACATCTTGAGAAGTTCTTACCCGAACGCGTATCACGTTGATCTCCACAGCCATTAGCAGCCCATAAAGCACCACCATCGTCCCAGTGATGCAGAAACGCAGCTGACCAAAATAGATCTCGTCTTGGCAATATCTGACCAGCTTGATAGTTTTGGTGACAAAGGCCATGATCCAGTACACAAAAAGAGCTGCAGGAGCAAAAGAAATATGTAGCCCTCAATTCCATGCATGCAGCATTGATTCTCCAATCAAGCAACTAAATAGGCCATAATCCAAAGAAGGTAGAACTGGGAAAAATTAGACTGAGCAGTCCTAAGTTGGCTGTTTTCTTGCAGACGTTTCATTACCCAACTAGGTAATATCATCAGGGCTAGAAGGGAGTGACATTTGCTCCCTTTTCATGTACAAGTGGCTTGCCCTGCCAGGGTTGATGGGAGTGTTCTTGGTAGTTCCTTGATTAGGCTGCGGTTTAATGGTGCTTTACAGCCATAAAGCATTTCCAGCCATCGCAAAATGTTGCAACACTACCCCTACAATCACATGATTGTGATCTGGGTTCTTTGTACCAGTTGCCAAGTGGCCTGCGATCATGTGACTATGATTCTGCAAAGTTCTCTGCTGGCTTCCCCAGAAAGTCATTGGGGAAGCCAACAGGGAAAGTTGCAAGATACAACCATCTGCTAAGAGGGCACTCTTTCATCTCTAAGGGTTGGCCGAAAGGCTGCCTCTCAAGGGGAGCTGAACTCCTTTGGTGGGTGGGATGTGTCAGAGTTTGTTGCAAAAAACAAATCCAGAAGCACACACAGATAAGCTGATCAGCAGGATTCATTAACTTCTTTATATACACAATAATACATGAAGTAAATTTACAATACCAACAGCAGATTCAGTTTCATTTCAGCTCAGATCAGCAGACACGTTCCCATTCACACTGATTTCAGTTTCTCTTTCTCTGCACAGACTCAGAAGCTGCAGACTAAGACGCGCCCTGGCTCCAGTCTGTCTCAGCTCCCAATTGGCTGACTTAGTTGCTATGCCTATTCATTGGCTGACCTTGTTACCATGTCATCCCAGTCATGAATATTCTGACAGGATGTAGTTCTCAGAGGGAGTCAAAATCCAAGCAAAAATAGAGAGTTAACGTGGTGAGGTGGGCAGGGTGCCTCGGGCAGAGTTGGGGGTAAAGGAGGCTCTTGGAAGCTTGGTACAAGGAGCATGGAAGCGTCTCTCTGCTCAGGGGCTGAAAATTCTGCTTGGATTTCATCAGGAAGGATTTTCAGCTCCTGAGCGAAACCTCCCAGAGTCTCCCCCACCTACCTGAGGCACCCCACACTCCTTATCCGCGATTCCATCTGCTTAACAACCCATGCAATTACTTAACGAACACAATGGGGACTTCCGGGATTGTGGTTGTTGAGTGAAGCATTCATGTGTGGGCAATCACATGCCATCTTGCTTCAGTCAAAGACTGAGATTCTGATCCCAATTGTCATAAGTCGAGCACCACCAGCACACTAACCTCTACACTGATCCAGTTAAGCATGAAAAGGGGCCAATAATCAATCACTCATTTAAATATGTCGAGGAAACAAATGTTTAACAGAATAACAGAGTTGGAAGGGACCTTGGAGGTCTTCTAGTCCAACCCCCTGCTCAGGCAAGAAACCCTATCCTATTTCAGACAAACAGTTGTCCAACCTCTTCTTTAAAACCTCCTGTGTTGGAGCATCCACAACTTCTGGAGGCAAGTTGATCCACTGATTAATTGTTCTAACTGTCAGGAAATTTCTCCTTAGTTCTAGGTTGCTTCTCTCCTTGATTAGTTTCCACCCATTGCTTCTTGTCCTACCCTTAGGAGCTTTGGAGAACAGCTTGACTCCTTCTTCTTTGTGGCAGCCCCTGAGATATTGGAACACTGCTATCATGTCTCCCCTAGTCCTTTTTTTCATTAAACTGGACATACCCACTTCCTGCAACCGTTCTTTGTATGTTTTAGCCTCCAGTCCCCTAATCGTCTTGGTTGCTCTTCTCTGCACTCTTTCTAGAGTCTCCACATCTTTTTTGCATCGTGGAGACCAAAACTGGATGCAGTATTCCTATTGTGGCCTTACCAAGGCATTATAACGTGGTATTATCCCTTCAGCGTTGCCCTATTTCGAATATAGATATTTTAAAAAGAAAATACTTACCCAGAAGTAATTTTGGAAAATTTGATGTCTCAATATTGTGGTAATATACTATGGATGTTGTAGCTGCTACAAATCCCATTATAGCAGGCAGGAAGAGGTGCAGATGGCAAGACGGCAATTTTCTGTAAAGGAACCAAGGTTGTTGTCAGAGTCATGGCTGTATTTCAATGCAGAGACGTTCAAGAAATGGATTATAAACTCAGCAGCATTTCATTCAAAGCTAACCTCTGTTCGGGTAGTCCTCAACTTTTTTTTTTAATTTGATTTATATGCCGCCCTTCTCCGGAGACTCAGGGCGGCTTACAAGGCGTTAAGCAATAGCCTTCATCCTTTTGTATATTTATGCAAAGTCAGCTTATTGCCCCCACAAACTGGGTCCTCAATTTACCTACCTTAGAAAGGATGGAAGGCTGAGTCAACCTTGAGCCTGGCGAGATTCGATCTTACTTTAATTGCAGACAGCTGGTGTTAAATTACAGTGCTCTGTCTGTTGAGCTATCCAGGCTCCTGGTTTAGGAGTAACTTATTACTACAGTTTGCTTAGTGACCATTCAAAGTTATAATGCCAAAGTGATGTACGACCATTTTTCACACTTATACCATCATAGCATCCCCATGGTCAGGTAATCCAAATTCACACACTTGGCACACATTCACTCATGTTTATGACAGTTGCACCGTCCCAAAGTCATGTGATCACCTTTTGTGACCTTTTGACCAGTGATGGGATTCAAATTTTTTTACTACCGGTTCCGTGGGCGTGGCTTGGTGGGCGTGGCAGGGGAAGGTTACGGTAAAATCCCCATTTCCTCCCAATGAGCTGGGTCTCGGGAGGCAGAGAATCGATGGCGGTAGGGCCAGTCAGAGGTGGTATTTACCATTTTATTTTATTTTTTTTATTTTACTTCAAATTTATATACCGCCCTTCTCCCTAGGGACTCAGGGCGGTGTACAGCCAAGTAAGAATACATAAATACATAATACATAATAATACATAAATTAAGAACAGATTAAAAGGAAATATCTCAATTTGGCCCAAAATTTAAAAAGACAAACGAATTTAAAATCATTTAAAAGGATTTGTTAGGCCAGCCCGGCTTGTTGGAAAAGGAAAGTTTTAAGGGTACGGCAGAAGGCACGGAGGTCTTGGATTCTCCTTATCTCTGGGGGCAGCTGATTCCAGAGGGTAGGTGCCCCCACAGAGAAGGCCCTCCCCCTGGGGGTCACCAGCCTGCATTGTTTGGCTGATGGCACCCCGAGGAGGCCCTCTCTGTGGGAGCGCACAGGTCGATGGGAGGCCGTCGGTGGCAGAAGGCGGTCTCGAAGATAACTAGGTCCTATGCCATGGAGCGCTTTAAGGGTGGTAACCAACACCTTGAAGGGCACCCAGAAGACCACCGGGAGCCAGTGCAGCTTGCGCAGGAGCGGTGTTATGTGGGAGCGCCATGCAGCTCCCATAATTACCCGCGCGGCTGCATTCTGGACCAGTTGGAGCCTCCGGGTGCTCCTCAAGGGGAGCCCCATGTAGAGAGCGTTGCAGTAGTCCAGGCGAGAGGTGACGAGGGCATGAGTGACTGTGCACACGGAATCCCGATCAAGAAAGGGGCGCAACTGGCGAATCAGGCGAACCTGACAGAAGGTCCCCCTGGCAACAGCCGTCAGATGTTCTCCGCACTACTCAAAATTTCCGATACCAGTTCTCCAGAATTGGTCAGAACCGGCTGAATACCATCTCTGCTTCTGACAAGCAAAGTCAAGGGGGAAGCCGGATTCACTTAACAACCACGTTTCTAATTTAGGAACTGAAGGGATACACCTAACAACCGTGGGAAGAAAGGTCATAAAACGGAGCAGAAATTTTGGGCGCAATTGTGATTGTAAGTCAAGGACTACCTGTACTGCATTTGTTGGCAAGTCTTGACCTTCAACATCTCCTAAAACAATACCAAGACAACTAGAGATGAACCTCACAGCAACAGTTTAAATAACGTTAGGCCGAGTTTCTTTTGGCAACCCAGAAGGATCTCCAGGCAAAGTTATGATTAGGATAAGTTAGGCTTAAATTTGTTAAACTGATGTTTTTTAATTGCTAATCCAATCAGCCTCTTGAGAAAGCTTTCCTGAAAATGTTTGCCTTTGGAAGGACAATCAGGTTGTCCTTGACTAATGACCATTCATTTAGCGATGATTCCAAGTTTAGAGCTGTGGTGGCGCAGTGGTTAGAATGCAGTACTGCAGGCAAACTCTACCCACAGTCTGGAGTTCGATTCTGATAAGGCTCAAGGTCGACTTCGCCTTCCATCTTTCCGAGATCGGTAAAATGAGGACCCAGATTTTTAGGGGCAATAGGTTGACTCTGTAAACTGCTTAGAGAGAGCTATAAAGGCACTACGAAGCGGTATATAAGTCCAAGTGCTATTGCTATAGTGCTACGTCCAGGGGTGGGCTCCTGGGGGTTCGGGCGATTCTCTAGCCAGACCCATGACTGCATCTATCTGTGGCCTTTTATGCAGGGGTAAAATGCTCCCGGTTCGGACCAGATTGCCTGATCCGGTAGCGATGGCAGCGGGTGGTTCAGAGAACCGGTAGCAAAAATCCCTACCCCCACCCCCCACCATGCCCAGCTGAGCTGCACAATCATCAGAGGCTTTTTTTTTATTTATTTATTTCTGAAAGCATTTTTTCTGCAACCTCTTCCGCCGAAGAGGTGGTAAAAAAATGCTTTGAAAAGCCTCTGACGATCCCAGCTGAGTTGCCTGATCGGCAGAGGCTTTTCAAAGCATTTTTTTTGCAACCTCTTCTGCTGAAGAGGTTATAGAAAAAATGCTTTGAAAAGTTTAAAAAAAAAAAAAAGTTGGCCACAGCCACCCAGTCACATTAACCTCCACCACCACCAAGCCATGCCCACAGAACCAGTAGTAACAAATTTTACATTTCACCCCTGCTTTTATGACAGCTGCATCTTTTCTTAGGCCTTTTGCAACACATTGGGAAAAAACAGACTGGACTTCAGGAACTGCCCATAAGTGTCATCTATATCAGTGGTGGGTTCCTCCCGGTTTACTCCGGTTCGGCTGAGCCGGTAGCGGTGACGATATGACGCCACCGAACCGGTTCTCCCCCACCCGCCCTCCCACCCACGTTTTCTTACCTTTTATTTGGCCCCACCCCCAATCTATAGCTGCCTCCTGAGTCCCAGCTGATGACTAGAGGGAAAAAAACTGTTTAAACTCTTGCCGCGGGGCTTCAAAGGGCCGCCTTACAGCTGATCAGTGTTAAAAGCAAACAAATGAGTCGGGTCGTAAGTGCGAGGACTGGTCGTAAGTGCGAGGACCTTCCAGAAATGACTCTGACCAGCTAGCCACGCCCCCTAGTCACATGACCTCCAAGCCACGCCCACAAAATAAGCCACGCCCACAGAACCGGTAGTAAAAAAATTTAGAACCCACCCCTGATCTATATCAGGGGCAACTTTAAGACTTATGGACTTCAACTCCCAGAAATCCCCATTCTGGGAATTCTGGGAGTTGAAGTCCACAAGTCTTAAAAGTTGCCAAGGTTGCCAAGTCTTAAAGTTGCCCCTGATATAGATCTATCTGATCTATATCATGTATGGAGCCTTTTTGCCTTTGAATTTAAAATCTATTAAATATAAGACCAAGTATTTTTGGAAGGTGCTTTTGAATGGATAAAGTAGCCCCGTGGGAAAGGTTTTACAGCTCATGGCTAATTTGGGCCCCGTCATTAGCCGGGGTTTTGAGTCCCTTTCCTCAAGCACTTACGAATCTGAAACAATGCCCTCGCCGATTTCACACACGTGGACAAAAAGGAGAGTGAACGTCAGAATCCATCGCAGGTTGTGCCCAGGGAAGTGTAACCATGTGTTGTGATGGATCTGGACTTTGGAGCTTTGGCTTCCCCATCCTAAAATAAAGAATCCCAGTTAAAGAGTCGTAGAAAGTCAGAAAGCAGAAGAGCAAAGTAAGAGATGCATATCTCAGTTGTAGGTTGGTATAAGAGCCAGTTTGGTCTAGACGAGTCGTGATGGCGAACCTATGGCACTGTTGTGGCCCATAGGCGGCCTGTGCAGCTAGAAGCTGATTCCAACAGCAAGGAGGCTGGTTTGGTGCTGCGCCAGCAGCCTGTGCAGCTGGCACTTGAGTCGGACAATGAGGAGGCTGGAGAAGATGCGGTGCCAGAGGCGGGGATTCAGCCAGGGCCTTCAGAATCTCCAGAAGCTCCCATAAGTGAAGAGGACGAAGAGGAGGAGCCTCTTCTTGATGCACGGGCGTGCAGAGCTGCCAAAAGACAGGAGTGGCTCCTCAGGAGGAGGTCTTCTCGAGAGTAAGGCTTGGGGCTAATTGGCCACTCCCTTAGCCTATTAAGGAGGAACGCCGACTGAAGCAATTTGCAGGGAACAACTTAGTTCACATACCTTCGCGTCTTGTCTTGCTTATCTTATCAGCTTCCTGCAAATTGCTTCTGGGCATTCTGCCAATCATAGTAAGCTTTCAGTTATTATTCTTTGAATTCTTGGCGGCTGTTAATGCAATTAATTAACAGCCGTTGTTGTAAAAGACTGGTTTATTTAGTAAACTAAGGTTTGAACGGACTTTGTGTGTGCTGCGTTCTTTGGGGTCCGTAGCTGGGGCAGAACAGGCACGTGTGCCAGAGGTGGCACGCAGAGCCTTCTCTGCTGGCACATGCACCGTTGCCCCAGGTCAAATCTCCATGGCATTTCTTTTGCCAGCTTCTGTTTCCCTGCAAACGGCGAAACAGAAGTTCACAAAAGAAAAAGATCTTACCTCTCGCCGCGCTACCGGTGTTGGGATGCCCCGCCTCCCGCCAAGCCAGCTGGTCTTTGGGTCTTTGCTGAGCATACACACATGTCCGGGCATGTGTGTGAGCATGTCAGCACATTTGTGCATGTCGGCATGTACGCACGTTCATGTACGTGCAGACATCTTTCAGTTTGGGCATGCACATGTATGCAGTTTGGGCACTCGGTGTCTAAAAGGTTCACCATTGCTGGTCTAGAGGTTAAAGCACCAGGCTAGAAACTGGGAGACCGTGAGTTCTAGTCCTTCCTTAGCCATGAAAGCTAGCTGGGTGACTTTGGGCCAATCACCAGGAGACATGAGTTCTAGTTCCATTTTAGGCATGAAAGCTGGATGGGTGACCTTGACCGAGTCACTCTGTCTCTGCACAAACCATATTGGGAGTATGTTTGCTACCTTCAGTTATTTGTAAAAATAATAAAAGCGGGATATAAATAAAAAATTAATAAAATATCCCTTGGAGCTCCATTTTCTCCTAGTATTCTCCTACATAACCATGCCTGATTTTATGGCCTTTTTTGTGGTGGTTGTTAAGCAAATCCATTGTCTGCAATGGATGTTTTTTTGCCAGAAACCAGCTTCTGGCAAAAAAAAAGAGAGTCATAAATTGTGATTACATATGTGTGAGATGCTGCACACGGCCACAAATGCAGGCTAGTTGCCAAGCCCCCAAAACAGGATCATGTAACTGACATGGATATGGAATTAAACAAATGAAATAATTAAGAAGAAAACAGAAATGGAGAGAAAATGAGATAGATTTGGATGGATGGATGGATGGATGGATGGAAAGAAGGAAGGAAGGAAGGAAGGAAGGAAAAGGAGGGAGGGAGAGAGGAAGGGAGAGAGGGAGGGAGAGAGGGAAGGAAGGAAGGATAAAAAGCAGAGAGGGAGGGAGAGGGAGGGAAGGAAGGAAGGAAGGAAAAGGAGGGAGGGAGGGGGAGAGGGAAGGAAGGAAGGAAGGAAAAGGAGGGAGGGAGGGAGGAAGAAAGGAAGGACGATTGATTGGTATGTTTTTTTATAAGGCTTAAACTATGCAAACTTAAAAACGATTGGAAAAAGCTGGTGGTGGCATTCCTTACCAATAAACAATATAGGAAAGGTGATGAATAAGAGGAAGACGTGAGGCACCAGATTGAGGGCATCCAGAAAACAGACATTCCTCACGAATCCATCGCTCATGTTATAAGCAGAAATGTTGTCGTTGCCACAAAATGCAATTTTCATTTCTGCCTCTGGAACTTTGCTGCAAAGTAAAACAGAGCAAAACCTTATAAAACCATCAGAGAAAGATTCACATTTAAATCACTTGCGGGTCCAGTATTGCATTTTACTTCGTATTTGGTGCCTATACATCCCATATTTCCTTCAAGGTACTCAAGAGAGAGTTCCGAGTACAAGTAAATCAGATTACGGATTACAGATTAACAGAGTTGGGAGGGACCTTGTAGGTCATCTAGTCCAACCCCCCGCCCAAGCAGGAGATCCTACACCATTTCTGATTGATGGCAGTCCAATCTCTTCTTGAAAGCCTCCAGTGATGAAGCTCCCACAACTTCCGAAGGCAACTTCTGTTCCATGGGTTGATCGTTCTCACTGTCAGAAAATTCCTCCTCATTTCTAGGTTGAATCTCTCCTTGATCAGTTTCCATCCATTGTTCCTTGTCTGGCCTTCAGGTGCTTTGGAAAATAGCTTGACCCCTTCCTCTCTGTGGCAGCCCTTCTAATGACCACAATTAAGTGACTAATGACCACAATGAAATCCAAAATTTCTGTTGCTAAGTGAGACAATTATTAAGTGAGTTTCGCCCCATTTTACGACCTTTCTTGCCAGAGTTGTTAAAGCGAATCACTGCACTGGTTAATTTAGTCACAATTTTGTGAAGTGATTCTGGCTTCCCATTGGCTTTTTTCTTTTTTTAATTTGATTTATATGCCGCCCTTCTCCGGAGACTCAGGGCGGCTTACAATGCGTTAAGCAATAGCCTTCATACTTTTGTATATTTTTACAAAGTCAGCTTATTGCCCCCACAAACTGGGTCCTCAATTTACCTACCTTAGAAAGGATGGAAGGCTGAGTCAACCTTGAGCCTGGCGAGATTCGAACTTACTTTAATTGCAGACAGCTGGTGTTAAATTACAGTGCTTTAGTCTGCAGAGCTATCCAGGCTTTGCTTGTCAGAAGGTCGTAAAAAGGGATCTTATGACCCCGGGACACTGCAACCGTCATAAATACATGCCAGTTCCCAAGCATCTGAATTTTGATCACCTGATCACCACGGGGATGCTACAACAGTCATAAGCGTGAAGAACAGTCCTAAATCGCATTTTCCAGTGCCGTTGTAACTTTGAACGGTCACTAAATGAATGGTTGCAAGTCAAGGTCTACCTATTGTGGCCCGTCAGCAGCCTGTGCAGATTGTAGCTGATTCCGACAACGAGGAGGCTGGTGTGGTGCTGCGCCAGCAGCCTGTGCAGCTGGCGCTCGAGTCGGACAGTGAGGAGGCTGGAGAAGATGTGGTGCCAGGGCCTTCAGAACCTCCAGAAGCTCCTTTAAGTGAAGAAGACGAAGAGGAGGAGCCTCTTCTCAATGCACGAGCTACCAAAAGGCAGGAGTGGCTCCTCAGGAGGAGGTCTCCTCAAGAGTAAGGCTTGGGGCTAATTGGCCACTCCCTTAGCCTATTTAAGGAGGAACACCACTTGCAACAAGCTGTGGAGAACAACTTTAGTTCACTCTCCTTCATGGCTGCAAAATTGCTTCTGGGCTTTCTGCCAACTCTAGTAAGACTGTGATTACCTTATCTTAGAATTCTGGTAGGCTGTTAAGACAGTTCATTAACAGTCTTTGAATGAGTAAAATAAGCTTTGTAAAGAAATTGTGCTGCATTCTTTGGGGTCCGTAGCTGGGGCAGAACACTACCTGTACTCGTCTTCCTGTTCTGTAAGGTAGAAGAGGCCAAGTGACACCGGTAATCTTCAATTTACAACCGGTCATTTAGCAACCATTCAAAGTTACAACTGAGTCCCCCCAAAAGCACTTACGACCCAGTTCAAAAGTTCCAACAGCTGAGCTTCTCCCACCACCTCCGTCCAAGTGGCCATATTTTGGGCAACTGGACTTGACAACTGGCCCACATTTATGGTTGTTTGCCATCATTCATCATCACATGACCACAATTTATAATGTTTTTGATGGAAACCAGCGTTTCCAGCAAAAACGCCCCATAGCAAACAAGGGATTCGCTCAATGAAACTTACAGTTCTACAAAACCATTGTAATCTCAATATGGGGCCAAATATAGTCAATTACCTGGCAATGCACAAAATATTTCCTTGAGAGTAGACCGGTGGTGAAATGTAAAATTTGTTACTACTGATTCTGTGGGCGTGGCTTGGTGGTGGTGGGGTAATGTGACTGGGTGGGCGTGGCCAACTTTTTTTTTTTTTAACTTTTAAAAGCATTTTTTCTGCAATTTCTTCGGCCGAAGAGGATGTTAAAAAAAATGCTTTTAAAAGCCTCTGACGATCCCAGCTGAGCCACAGGATCATCAGAGGCTTTTTTTTTAACTTTTAAAAGCATTTTTTCGGCCGAAGAGGTTGTAAAAAAAATGCTTTTAAAAATAATTTTAAAAAGCCTCTGATGATTGCGTGGCTCAGCTGGGCTTGGGGGGGGGCAGGGATTTTTGCTACCGGTTCTCCGAACCACCCGTCGCCATTACCACCGGATTGAGCGATCCGGTCTGAACCGGGAGCATTTCACCCCTGGAGTAGACTAATGCAGACCAAGAAAAAGGTTCAGAACCATGAACCTTTATATAAGGGCCCTCAAACAGGGTAGTAACAAGACCTCATAAATGAGTTTGTGAAAGTTCAATGAGAAAAGCTAATAATTTTACTGAGATTAGGGTTAAGCCAAATAAGGAAGGAGGGACCCGTTTTTCCAATAATTAAATCTGAAGCTGAGGTTTACACGCTTACGAGAACCATCTGTTGGTCTTTGAAGTAAAGAGCAAAACCTAGATCAATGATGGCTAACCTTTTCCAGACCGAGTGCCCGAAACGCGCCAATGCGTGCATGAATGCGTGTGCACTCGAACCCCCAAATGCAATGTGCACAAAGCCCCACGCATGTGTCCTGCCCCCCCCCCCGCATGCGTGCCTCCCCACCCGTGCCCCCCCTGCATGCACGGTAGACACCCAACGACCAGCTGGCTGGTGGGAGGCGTGAGCACATGCTTGGTAGAGCTGAACTGGGGTGATGGCTCACATGCCCACAGAGAGAGTGCTGCATGCCACCTGTGCCACGTGTGCCACAGGTTCACCATCACGGACCTAGATCAAAAATTGACAGTTTCCCATCTGTTGCGTGAAATCGTTCAAGTGTTTTCTGTTTTTAAATTGTCTCTCTCTTCTAAGTTGCCCACAACCCCTTGGGATATATTGACCCACAATTTGAGAACCCTGCCTTGATGTACCATGGAAGCCCATCCCATCCAATAAGCCCTGGTTAAGAGAAGCATGGCTTAACCCATTGTAGTACATTAAATCTGTGCCCTGTAACCAAAACTTTGTTAAACCGTCTACTTTAAATGCATGTGTTTCGCTCGATAAAAGCTCTAAAGTCTTTTGCAACCACATAGATAATTATCAAATAAAAATAAGAGAGTTAAATTCATATTTCTGAATAACCTAGTGACAAGTTATGACCGTACTCTCATACACACTTAAGGAAGGAAATATAACAGAGCATAATGGAAATTATTTTTACGGAAAGATCATTGCACAGTTAAATTTTTATAACAGATACTGTACATATCTTGACTATGATATATCACCACTTCCTTATTTCATCTTGTGATGTCAATGGGTTATTTTTTTTTTGGTGCTATTTACTTTCTTTGGTCCATCTCTACAGAATCCTCCTTATCTGTGGCAGCTTAAGTAATATTTCTCATCTTCCTAGATAAATAATTCCATATATTTGTTGTTGTGAGCCATTCAGAGTAGTTTATATTGGGTGGCCCTATAAATCCTTTAAATAAATTAAATAAATAAAGGTTACATTCCACTTGCTCTTTTTATTGTTTCATTTTTAAAAACCTTGTGTGGATTATTTATATTTCATTCTCCACAATATTCCAGGCACAAGTATGATAAAACTATTCTTACCAGAAAGTATTTAGAATTTACTTTCAATGGACTGGAGAGCTGAGCTGAATATTTATTTATTCGTTTGTTTATTAAATTTACTTGTTGCCTATCTCACAGAGGGGATGTTGTAGGCAGCTAACGGCAATAAAAAAAGGAAGAAATGAAAAGTGTGTAAATGGAACAGAAGATAATAGAACAATAAAATAAACACTGAAAAATAACCTAGCGAAAATACAGCAATATGATATACGCTAATTATACCTATAATCAAGTGAAGAATTCATTTTTTTCTCACAGATTTTTCTGCTGCTTGGATCAAGTTCCTCAGGCATAAATGACAGAAGTCATGATCCTGCCGCAAAATAGGGTTTTGTTCCTTATTCTGCCATGATAGAGAGAGGTTAAATATATATATATATATATATATGTCAAAGACATTTCATGGCATTACAATCCTATCAATAGATAGACACGAAGGAGTATCTCAATAGGCATTACTTTGAAGTAAATATATTTAAGATTGGCTTTAGTTTCTCTGATAGGTCGGTCTGTGCTGCACGCATATACGCAGGAGAGTACCCAAATACACCCATAAACAAAGACAGAAACACATTTACACATCTGTAAGGGACTTGCTCAGAAAAAATAATAATAATAATACCGACTCATAATAATATTTTGCTTAGGGGTGCAGCAGTTTTAATCTCAAAAGAAACATTTGCAGCTCTTTCTCAGTCCGTTTTAACTTTTCCAAAGTTACTTGCCACAGTCCTTAACGCTTTGATAATATACCGCCTTCCCTTCTGATTTTATATCAGAACTTGACATGCGAAAAAAGAGAGAAAATTTAGGATGGTTAACCTTGGTTAGACGAAGGGAAGAGAAACAGTTTGAACCACCATTGTGTCTATTTTCCCCAAAGAAGGAGGGCACGATCCTTCTTAAGAACTGGCAAAGAAATTTTGTAAGCATTTTTTTCCCTCTCAGTTCAACTCTGAATAGAAGTAGAAAGAAGGCGGTAGAGAAAACTTGGCTTCAGAAGATGCGAGGGAAAGGAGAGAAAGATCGAATAAGGACGAACTTTCAAAGCTCAAGAGAAGATTGCAAGAGTTCCTTACCTTCATAAACACACAAACACACTCTGGCACCAAATGCCAAATGCGTTTCTCCCCGGCGTGGCCAATATCATCCGGATGGCAAAGGCTGCTCTACCAGAAGAAAGGGACTCAGATTATTTTTAGACAGGTGATGAGAGGATCAGCTGCTGCCTCCTATCGGGTTTCTGGAGCATGCAGATTCCTCTTCTTAATTTTATTTTTATTTTTTTCCCACCCAGAAAATCCAGAGAACAGGAAACTGGGAAGAAGTTTCTCCGAACAATGATGTATTTAAATGATTGTCTTGTTTTTTTTTTTTTTTTAAATATCTTGTTTCTTCACTAAAATGTACTCAGGGCAATATAAACAAAAAAAGGGGGAGTTTCAAGAGCTTCGTTCTACGGACAGAGATGGGGTCTCCCTCTTTTTTGAGATTTTCAGCTAATCTTGATAAGGAAAAAAAATCAAAAACTTGATTTTTGGTTAAAGGCAGAAAATCACTGCAAATGTAGGGGAGGAAAGGAAGTTGCATCGTCTCTTGTTGGCTGAGAAGTATTTATTTATTTGTCAAGAACGTATTAGGTAATTTATATAATTATAAGCACAAATTGAATACATAAAATAGATACGAATAGAGGAAACATTAGGACAGGGACGGAAGGCACTCTGGTGCTCTTATGCACACCCCTTATAGACCTCTTAGGAATGGGGTGAGGTCAACAGTAGACAGTCTTAGGTTAAAATTTGGGGGGTTTTGGGATGAAACCACAGAATCAGGTAGTGCATTCCAGGCATTGACCACTCTGTTGCTGAAGTCGTATTTTCTGCAAAGTAAAAGTAAACCCCCAACCTGTTTGCTTTCTTTCCTAAAATTAAAAATCAAGTTATACTTTTTCCCCTTCTTCTTTCATTTAATTGTGTCTGATTCTCGAAGGCTGCCTGGACAAATCCTTGCAGTAAGAGCCTGGTGGCCCAGCGGACTAAAGTGCTGTTAATTAGCACTTAGCTGCCAGCTGCCTGCAATTACTGCGAGTTCAAATCTCACCAGGCTCAAGGTTGACTCAGCCTTCCATCCTTCCGAGGTAGGTAAAATGAGGATCTGGATTGTGGGGGCAATAAACTGACTTTGTATAAAATAGAACACCGCTTAGGGGGGCCCGAAAGCCCTACTAAGCAGGTATATACAAAAGTATGAAGGCTATTGCTTAATGCATTGTAAGCCTCCCTGAGTCTCCGGAGAAGGGCGGCATATAAATCGAACCAATAAATAAGTTTACTTGGCGAGGTTATTCAGAAGTGATTTGCCATTGCCTCCTTCCTAGGGCTGAAAGGAAGTGTCTGGCACAAAGTCATCCAGGTGTCTTTGGGCTCAAAGCAGGACTAGAACTCACAGTCTCCCAGTTTTCTAGCTGGCACCTTAGCCACTGCACCAAATGGGCTCTCCATATAAATGTGGTAAAACTCCATTATAGTCAGGGGGATCGAATAATTTCAGCTTCACTCCATTTCTCCTTTTTAAAAAAATTACAGGTAGTCCTTGATTTACAACAGTTCATTTAGTGACTAGGTGGCTCAGTGGCTAAGACACTGAGCTCGCCGATCAGAAAGTTTGGCAGTTTGGCGGTTCGAATCCCTAGTACAGGTCCCTTCCAACTCTGTTACTGTTACTGACTGTTCAAAGTTACAATGGCACTAAAAAAAATTGACTTATGGCTGTTTTTCACACGACAGCATCTCCATGGTCTCATGATCAAAATTCAGACGCTTGGCAACTGACTCAGATTTATGACGGTTGCAGTGTCCCGGGGTCATGCGATCACCTTTCGCAACCTTCTGTCAATGGGCAAGCCAGATTCACTTAGCAACCGTGTTACTAATTTAACAACTGCAGTGATTCACTTAACAACTGTGGCAAGAAAGGTCGTAAAAAGGGACAAAGTTCACTTCACAACTGTCTCGCTTAGCAACAAGAAACTTTTGGCTCTATTGTGGTCGTAAGTTGAGGATCCCCCGTATACAGAGAGGGTCAAAAAAGTCAAGATGTGTCAAGTCCTCCAAACCAACAAAAAACACATGGTGAATCTTCCAAAAGAGTTTTGTTATTGTTATTGTTTCACACCAAGAGCCTTGGTAGTACAGTGGTCTAAAGCACCCTGTTATTAAGACCAGCTGCCTGCAATTACTGCAGGTTCGAATCTCGCCAGGCTCAAGGTTGACTCAGCCTGCCATCCTTTCTAAGGTAGGTAAATTGAGGACCCAGTTTGTGGGGGCAATAAGCTGACTTTGTAAAAATATACAAAAGTATGAAGGCTATTGCTTAACGCATTGTAAGCCGCCCTGAGTCTCCGGAGAAGGGCGGCATATAAATCAATTTAAAAAAATAAAATAAATAGACACCATCTTGCCGGACTGCATCGAGCACAGACTCTGGGAACTATTAGGGAGGAGCTGTCTTCACCCTCTTTCTCTCACACAAAAGTATCTGAACTGAGTTGCCTCTTGCTCCTCTGAAATGCAGCTTCTCCCTCCTGGGGATCCGTCCCACTCCATTCCATCATGTCATATTGCCCATAACCATGTGATCAAAGTCCCTTTTTAGATTTGTTGCAATGTACATTTTTAAAAGGTAGATCTTTGTGCGGTTGTGGACCTGTTGACTTTTGGTAACATCCCGTCCCCCTGAATTACAAATCCATTTCGGTTACCTCTTATCAGGCAGACCAGACAGGAGGCAAGGATGACAGAATCTTCATCACACAGAGAGGTTTCTGTTCTGACCTGAGTCAGTAAAACACACGAGTAGTCCCAAAAACCTGTTTTATTAACAGCTGTGAATTCTGTTCATTCACAGATGAGTCCCAAATAGTTGTAAAGAGTCCTTCGGGATAAGGCTGATAATCACCCACCTTTATTATCTCCCTTGACACGCTGCCAAAGACCTAATTGGCAAAGCCATCCAGAGTCCAGAATCAAACAGAGCTTCAGACTTTAAACTGCACAGAATTAACAACGTTGCTTCCTGCAAAGGCCCACATGCCTTTGCTCCTCTTTTAACTCTTATGGGAAGGGCCAATCATCTCCAAGCCCTACTCCCAAGACGTCCCTTTTGTTTTAACTGTTCTTGCCTTCTGGCAGCTCTGCGCATGCACGCACTGGGAACAGGCTCCCCCTGTTCCTCTGCCTCACTGAGGTCCGACTATGGAGGCTCCGGAGGCACCACGTACCTCCCAGATGGCCCTTTCTCTGCCTCCGATGCAGAGCCCTCGTCCGAGCCTTCCCCAGACTCCAGGACTGGCCCATGTTCCTCCCCAGGCTCCTCATTCTCCGACACTGCTGCCAGTTCTGCAGGCTGCTGGCAGACCACAACAGTTTCTGTCATGGGAAAATTCTTAATGGGCACATTTGGTAGGGAAGTAGCTTGGTCCAAGGGTTAAAATACTGGATTGAAGTAGAGAAAACTGAGTTTTCTAATCCCATCTCAGGCACCAAGTCAGCCAGGTGACCTTGGGCCAGGACCTCTCTCAGCCCTAGGAAGGAGGTGAGGGAAAACCACTTCTGAACTCTGAACTCCAAGAAAACTGCAGAGCAGTCTTTCCAAACTCTTGCAAGGTTAAGTTGGGCGGACTTCAATTCCCAGCCAGCATGAGTAAGTGGGAACTGGAAGGATATCTGGAGACAAGATGTCGTGTCTCCTAACTCCAAACCAGAACAGATCAGAGATTGTAGAAGAAAGGTTTTTTCACAGCAGCCAGAGATGGCTGGGAAGACCCAAAACTAGGAAGTCCTCAAACCAGGGGTGAAATCCAGCAGGTTCAGACAGGTTCTGGAGAACCATTAGCGGAAATTTTGAGCGCTTCCGAGAACTGGTAGCGGAAATTTTGAATAGTTCAGACAACCGGCAAGTACCACCTCTGGATGGCCCTAGAGTGAGGTGGGAATGGAGATTTTGCAATACCCTTCCCCCAGGAGTGGGGAAGGAATGGGGATTTTGCAATATCCTTCCCCTGGAGTGGGGTGAGAATGGAGATTTTGCAGTATCCTTCCCCAACCACGCCTACCAAGCCACACCATGCCCACCAAGCCACACCCACAGAACCGGTAGTAAACAAATTTGGATTTCACCACTGCCTCAAACACTCAAATGTGCCAGATCACATGCACAGCAAAAATTGTGAACAAGAAGGAATGCAGTACTTTAAAACCAGAAGAGCTAATTTTTAATTCTTGTTTCCATTTTTTAAAATTGTTAAATATTTTTTATTGTTTTATATCATATATTCCATTTCTATGTTGAACAGTGTGTTTTCTAAGTGTCCAAAGTGTTAACATATAAACATCATCATTATTATAATCATATATACATAAAGATATACAGTATGCGATATCAATCGTTATTGAAACGTATACTATCTTCCATTATAGTATCGATTATATAACCATCAAAATATTTACTCATCGGTTTTTCTTTCTCATGTAGTCCATATTTCACATAAATCCACTCCTCTAACCTCAGTAACTGTCACTTAACCATTTGTAGAATAGTTATAAAATGTTATAAAATATTCCGAGTCTTCTTTTCCTTTGATTTTTTTTAGGGTTAACCTATCCATTTCTGCACATTCCAGAATTTTTTTGATTCTAATATCATCTGTAGGGGTTTCTGGATTTTTCCAGTATTGTGCATATACAATCCTGGCTGGTAACATTATTAATGTTACATAAACATTAATTTATGTAAAATTAATGTTACCCTAATAGTTTCCATTTCTCAGAATTTGTTGAGACATACAATTTTCTTCTGTGTGAAAAGGCTGCACTCTGCTGGCATTAAAAACAACTTGCAGGAACAGTAGTAAAAAGGGCATGTCTTCATATATATATTTAGCTGCAAACTGTTACTGGTCTCATTTCTACCATTACTTGTAGCAGCTGTTTGAGAAAAATATGCAATAACACCATTTATTAGATTAGGGAAGAGTTATGTTCACATCACATTCTGAATATAAACTTGCCGACCACAATTTAGCCTCGCGTACTGTGTGAACTTAGCAAAACTGATTATTCTATAGTTTGTTTGTCACACAAACCCAGAAAAGTGGCTTTGGAAGATAGTGGTTCAATTTACTAACTTGCAAGTTTTCTCCAGGCGAGGACAGTCTAAAATCCAGCTTTTAGGTTCTGAAGCCATCTGTGAAACGCCTCTATGCCATTTCTCTACTGGTTGAAGAAACTTTATTTATTTTTATTTTATTTATTTGTCAAATACGTATAAGATAACAGATATAAGTATAAACATGATTATGAATACAAGGTAAGGATACAAATAAATTATAATTTATAATAAATTATATTTATATGCATATTATAATATATTAATATATATAATATATTCTTACTTTTCGTAGGTTTTATGTTGTTTTTCTTTTAGCCACCTTTTTCCTACGTAACCAAGATTTTTCTACAGCCCTAGCTCAGTGGAGTCACATCCACTCAATGTTTTCTTCTGGCAGAAGAAAAAAGCTCAGAATCGAGTGGATGTGACTCCACTGAGCTAGGGCTGTAGAAAAATCTTGGTTACGTAGGAAAAACCTGTCTAAAAGAAAAAAATATGTATATATAATATAATAAATATAATATAATTAAACATATATATATATATAATAATTATTTATATATATATATATATATATAATATTTATTTAATATATTATATATATTTATTTAATATATATATATATATATATATATATAATATATATATATATATATATACACACATACATACATACATATATATATATATATATATATATATATATATATATATATATATACACACACATACATACATACATACATATATACATATATATATATATATATATAATAAATAATAACTTCGGGGATTCTTATCCTCCAGCCCATTAGACCAGGTGCTTTCCAGATATGTTGGACTCCAACAGCCATCACACTCAGTCAGCACATGGGATTTGTAGTCCATCGCATCTCGAGAGGAGAGGAACGGCCTCATGCCCAGCAGAGATCCCCTTTAGATTCCTCCATCCATCCATTGAACTACGTTTCCCGGCATCCCACTGGAACGGCTTTTGGCTTTTTAACCCACATCGGCCAACGAAACTACATTTGCGGGCCAGCGCAGAAACAGCGCCCTCTACCGCCTCGGAAGCCTTGAAGCAGGGCGGGGGGAGGTGGACGTTAAAAATCTCCGCGCCTATAAAAACTCCACCTCCCAGCATTCTTCATGGCGGGCGTGCCCAGGGCGGCTGCGCGAGGGGCGGGGCTTAAACGTGGCAAAAGGGCGGTTTATATTCATTCTGTCAGCAAACCATGGCTGCGACAGTTGGGGATTCTCCTTCGCTCGCTGTCGCCTCATCCCGGCCGTCGGGGGATGCCGACTTGGGGTCCCCTCACATAGCGGCGCTGATCCTGGCTCGAGGCGGCAGCAAAGGGATCCCGCTGAAGAACATTAAGCTCCTGGCTGGCGTTCCGCTGATTGGTTGGGTACTGAGGGCAGCCCTCGACTCCGGCGCCTTCCAGAGGTCTGCGCATGCGCGAGTGTCAACGTTCTTTTTTTCTCTTCCCCCCCCCTCCCTTTTTAAATGAAACTACAGTTCTTTTGTCTGCAACAGAAACTTCCGGGTTTCTTGTGATTTCCTTAGGAATTTCATACAAATCATGATTAAAAACGTAACACAGGGCTTTCTCCTTATTAAAAAGCACGCTCTTTCAGAATCCAAAGATGAAAATCCATGGAGGTTTCAAATCTAGGATGGGCTGTGGGTTGGAGGTGGCTTTTTAAATAATATCTTGCAAAAAAAAAAAAAGTTTCCAGCGGATTCCAGTAAATGTTATTAATTATTAATATTATATTAATAATTATTAGTTATTAATAATTATTAATTTCATAGCATGTTGCAAATCGGGTGGGATGAAAGGTTTCAATTCAATTCAATTCAAATCAAATATTTATGGTCAGTGCACAACCCATATGCAATGAGGTTGGTTTTTATGGGGTTTTAATGTTGTTATTATTATTATTGAGTCCTTCGGGAGAAATGTGGTATACAAATTTAAACAATTAATTAATAAATAAATAAATAAATAAATAAATAAATAAATAAATAAATAATCCAATTTATATGCCGCTCTTCTCCGGAGACTCAGGGTGGCTTATAATGCATTAAGCAATAGCCTACATACTTTTGTATATACCTGCTTAGTAGGGCTTTCGGCCCTCCCTAAGCCGTGTTCTTTTTATACAAAGTCAGCTTATTGCCCCCATAAACCGGGTCCTCAATTTACCTACCCCGAAAGGATAGAAGACTGAGTCAACCTTGAGCCTGGTGAGATTCGAACTTGCACTAATTGCAGGCAGCTGGCAGCTAAGCGCTAGCACTTAACAGCACTTTAGTCCGCTGCACCACTGAGGCTCTTTGAGGGGGATGATGATGATGATGATGATGATTTCAATTTATATACCGCCCTTCTCCTATTGGACTCAGGGCGGTGCACAGCCAAGGATAAAAAAACATACCAATACAAAATTTAAAATCAATTAAAAGAATTATACAGCTTTGGCCCACAATTTAAAACAATCTAATTAAAACCCAATTTACACTTAAAAAGCTAAAAGGTTAAAAAGAACTAAAAATACAAGCTGCACGGAATTGGGCAGCCATAGGTCAGCAAAGCTGAGAAAATCGTCATTTCCATTCCGGTTTTGGTGTGTGATCTATTAAAAAGAATTTTTTTTTATTAAAAAAAATAGCAATCAATTCAAATGAATGAAATTTCTATAATAAATTGTGAGGCTTGACTTTTGGTAACGTCCTTTATATGCTTGGTAGGTAGGTAGTCCTTGACTTAACGACCACAATGGAATCCAAATTTTCTGCTGTTAAGTAAGACAGCTGTTAAGTGATTTTGCTCCATGTTTTGACTTTTTTTGCCACCGTTGCTAAGTGAATCATGCGGTGGTGAAACGAATCGGGCTTTCCCCACTGACTTTGCATGCAGGAAGTCAACTGGAAAGGTTACTAATGGTGACCACATGATCCCAGGCAGTGGTGAAATGTAAAATTTGTTACTACCAGTAACAAAGTGGCTTGGTGGGGGGAGGGTTAATGTGACTGGGTGAGCGTGGCCAACTTTTTTTTAATTTTTACTTCTAAAAGCATTTTTTCTACAAAAATAAGAGGTTGCAGAAAAAAATGCTTTTAAAAGCCTCTGACGATCAGGCAACTCAGCTGGGCATGGGGGGCGGCAGCAGGGATTTTTGCTACTGGTTCTCCAAACCACCCGCCGCCATCGCTACTGAATCAGGCGATCCGGTCTGAACCGGGAGCATTTCACCCCTGGGTAAAGGGTATTTCAAAGCATATGTGGGCAGAAAGATAGGACCAGTCTGTCCACCTTAAATTAAACTTGTCTTTTTCTGGAATCCACTGCAGTAAATATATGCTTTAGAGGCAAAAAAAATGCAGCAGCCTTACAGCTTTTCAGAGGGTGCTAGATTTATACCCTAATATCCTTCAGTGACCCTTTTTTTATCTCCAAATCTGAAGTGCTGCACAATCTTTCCATTTGCAAACCTAATATGCCCATTTTACAGATTTGAACATTGAGGCCAAACCCTAGTGATTTTTCCTAAAAGTCTTTGGTTGAAAAGAACGGTTACTATTGGTTTTCCAAAAAAGATTGGGGGGGGGGGGAGATACGAGATAAAGAATTGACTCGTATCTTCAAGGCTTGTCGTGTTGTGTCACAACTTCCCTAACGGGCAACAACGTTGCTGCTCCCTTTGTCTTATCCACAGTGTATGGATTTCCACAGATCACGATGAAATTGAGAAAATTGCCAAGCAGTTTGGAGCTCAGGTGCATCGGAGGAGCTCTGAAGTGTCTAAAGATTCTTCTACCTCTTTGGACACCATTGTGGAGTTTCTCCAATATCACGAGGGTAGGTTGGTGCTGACAAACTGTTTTTTGTTTTTAAGTATTGCTTTTTGGGAGCTCTTTTAGCGTTCGTTCATTCTCTGAATTTGAATACAGGTATGTCTAGTTTAATATGATTGCAGGATTGCGATATTTGAGGGTCTGCCAGAAAGATGAGGGGGGGTCAACCTATTCTCCAAGATAAGATAAGATAATTTATTTTTATTTATGTAATTTATGTAATTTATATGCCGCCCTTCTCCCGAAGGACTCAGGGCGGCTTACAAAGAACGGAACAAAAATTACATAAACATTAAAAACCCAATTAAAATTGATTAAAAATCACCCCTGCGGATCAGCCCATTTGATGAAAAAGCCACGTCTTCAATTCGCGGCGGAAGGAGAGGAGGTCAGGGGCTGTCCTAAGGCCAGTGGGCACCCCATTCCAGAGGGTCGGTGCTCCCACAGAGAACGCTCTTCCCCTGGGGGCCACCAACTGACATTGTCTGGCTGACGGCACCTTGAGGAGGCCCACTCTATGGGCGCACACAGGACGATGGGAGGATGGCAGGAGATAATCCTGCAAGTACCCTGGGCCTAAGCCATGTAGGGCTTTATAGATGAGCACCAGCACCTTGAAACGGACCCGAAGGCCCACCGGTAGCCAGTGCAGCTCGCGCAGGAGAGGTGTCACACGGGAGTAACAAGAAGCCCCTGTAACAACCCATGTGGCCGCATTCTGGACTAGCTGTAGCCTCCAGGTGCATCCCAAGGGCAGCCCTATGTAGAGGGCATTACAGTAGTCCAACCGAGATGTAACAAGGGCGTGAGTGACCGTGGCAAGGGCATCCTGGTCTAGGAAAGGGCACACCTGGCGCACCAGGTGTACTTGTGCGAAGGCCCCCCTGGTTACGGCCATCAAATGATCTTCTAAAAATAGCCGTGAATCCAGGAGGACACCCAGATTGTGGACCCTTTCTGAGGGAGTAAGGACCTCCCCTCCTATCGCGAGTGACGGGACCACTAGATCACGAGATGCTGGTATCCACAGCCACTCAGTCTTGGATGGGTTGAGTCTGAGTCTGATAAGAGATAAGATAAGATAAGATAACTGTATTGACATTTTTTTATTGCGAGCACATCGGTCCACATTAAAAATGAAATTCTGTTGCCTGCTCTCAAGAGAAAGTGTTCTGACCTAGGCTTCCCAAGAGCATGAAGCAGACTCCTCGTCCCGATAAAACCCCTTTTATTTAGGTTAAAGGGAAATTCCTCTCCAGCAAAGTCCCGGCAAAACAGTCTTTCATGAGATTTCACAACTACAGACCAGGCTTGGAGAGTTGTCAGGCCGATATCTTCCAAACGCCACACGCTGTAGCAGCAATTACTTGGCAAGAAGTCAGGAACAGATCTTCACCTTAATGGATTGAACTAATTGTCTCCTGCAAACTCCCGTCCCCTTTCGCTCCTCTTTATTCCCTATGGGAGGGGCCATTCACCGTCCACCTGTGGCTTTACTCCTGAGTCGACCCTTGTTCCTTAGCTGTTCCCTTCTCCTGGCAGCTCTGTGCATGTGCACATTGGGAACAGGCTCCAGCTGTTCTTTTGCCCCACTGATATCCGACTCCGAAGGCAGCTGATAACTGTCAGACGGCCCTGGCCCCCTCTCTGCCTCTGACGCAGAGCCCTCATCTGAGCCTTCCCCAGACTCCAGGACTGGCCCATGTTCCTCCCCAACCTCCTCACTGTCTGAATCTGCCACCAGCTCTACTGGCCGCTGGCGGGCCACAACAGAAAGTGTATATCTACCCAAACACATATTTAACACACATACACACATGCTCTATACGTAGATAAATATATGCCTGCACCATACACACACACACACACACACACACACACACACACACACACACACATATTAATGATTGTCCATTTTGAATACGTAGCGGAAAAAGGAAATTTGAGAGTTTACAAGGTTGATGCTATATGGAACAAAACTGTGACTGAATCTAGATGTTCTGCAGGACAAGAAACAGTAGATGGACACTAAACAAAGAGAGAAACAAACTAGAACTAAGAAGAAATTTCTTGACAGTGAGAACAATTAATCAGTGGAACAACTTGCCTCCAGAAGTTGTAGGTGCTCCAACATTGGAGGTTTTCAAGAAGAGGTTGAACAACCATTTGTCAGAAATGGTACAGGGTCTCCTGTTTGAGCAGGGGGTTGGACTAGAAGACCTCCAAGGTCCCTTCCAACTCTGTGATTCCCTTAACAACTGTGGCAAGGAAGGTCATAAAATGGGGCACAACTCACTTAACAAATGCCTCGCTTAGCAACAGAAAGCTTGGGCTCCATTGTGATCGAGGACTACACATAGTTTGAATCAAACTGCAGCCTAGAAGCTCCTTATCTCCTCCGTGTTTTTCTCTCGTTTCTCCAGAGGTTGACGTCGTAGGAAACATTCAAGCAACTTCCCCTTGCCTGCATCCCACCGACCTCATCAAAGTCGTCAAAATGATCCGTGAGGATGGCTTCGACTCGGTCTTTTCAGTCGTGCGGCGGCACCAGTTCAGATGGAGTGAAATTAAAAAAGGAGGTAAAAGAGGAGGCTGGATATTATTGCTTATAAAAACTTCAGATAGGTACCTATTCACATCAACCTTCTATCGGCCTCGAACAAGCTGGCTTCTTCGGCTAAGAAATGGAGATGATCACCGTTCCCCTAGGGGTGATCAAACTCGATTTCATTGAGGGCCACATTAGGGTTGTGTTTGACCTCAGGGGGCTGGGGGGGCGTGGCCAGAGGTGTGTGGCCAGTTGGACGTCACCTGTGGTGGTCTGGGCGGGGCTGGGCTGGGAGGGATCCTCCTGCAGCCCTCTGCCAGTGAAAATAGAATAGCCCACCTGAGCTCTGTTTTTGCTGGCAGAGGCACTGCGGGCTGATCCTTCACTCTTTCCAGGACAGGCCCATGGACCAGATCTAAGAACCCTGCGGGCCACATCCAGCCCGCAGGTCTTGAGTTTGATACCCCTGCCCTAGAGTCAGAAATGACTGGACGGGAAACCTTTACCTTTATTTTTAAATCCAAACCATCTCAGTATAGTCTGCTCAGCTGGTTGTTAGCACCCCAAGAGTTTGGGCCAGGGTCTTTCTGCTGCCTGAGATTCTCTTACTTGGAAAGGCCAGAGATTGGTGCAGGGACCTTTTAACCAGCAAGGCGTGTGTCAAGATTCCGACCGACGAACCCAACCGAGCAAGCACTTTCGAGACGATCCAATCTCTTTACGCAAAACTTTATTGAGTACGTCATTTCGGCACTGATTAAGGCAAAACCAGCTCTAACTAATTCCCGCGCAATCCCCTATAATTAAAGAGTAGCATTCTCCCTCCCCCTATTAGTGCAGGTCCCATTGTCCAGTTGAATGTCATTGAATTGTTATGAGAAAATGTCTCTGAGGATTTTAGCCACCTGCTAAAAGTGTCCTTGGCTCTCATGGTTTGCCTTCTTGAGGCCTGGAGCCTACATTCCATTTCCCCCTTCCCTCCCCACTAGTTTGTTGGCAAGCTGAGAAGCGATAATAGTTGCAACTGCATAAGCGTGCTTCGAACTTGATAGCGTGTGTCTCTGCTGGGACGGTATGTTGCTTCCCTTCGAAAAATCAGGGTGGTTGTGATGATTCCCCCCACCTTGGACACTTCCCCAGATACCTCTCTAGAAGTCAGCTTGGGGGAGGATGAACCAGTTCCTGACATGTCAGGAGCTGAGTTGATTGATGGCTCCAAGCAGCTGCCTGTGAGGGATTTGGCTGAAGTGCAGCTGCAGCAGAATTATCCTGAAGCTCCAGGTGGGGGCAAATGTGCAGCTGCAGCCAGTCAGCGATGAGGAAGAGAAACTGCCTTCTGTACCTGATCCAAGAACACGTAAGACAGAGAAAAGGCAGGAGCAGGTCAGCCAGATTACTTGTGAGGAGGCAGCCTTGCTCTTTTTTTTTTTTTTTTTTAATTTGATTTATATGCCGCCCTTCTCCGGAGACTCGGGGCGGCTTACAATGTGCTCAGCAATAGCCTTCATCCTTTTGTATATTTATACAAAGTCAGCTTATTGCCCCCACAACTGGGTCCTCAATTTACCTACCTTAGAAAGGATGGAAGGCTGAGTCAACCTTGAGCCTTGGCGAGATTTGAACCTGCAGTAATTGCAGGCAGCTGGTCTTGATAACCAGCTTAATAACAGGTGCCTTAAACCACTGTACTACCAAGGCTCTTCTTGATGAGCTACACCGCAAGCTGGTTACTTAGCACAGCAGAGAAAATAGAAGTGATGCTGGGAACAACACGTTTGTTTCCAAGCTGTGTGTTTTCTGGTTGTTTTGATTCCTGCCTCCCATGCCTTGATTTGGATCGTGCCTTGGGAACTCTGGACTTTTCTTGCCAGAGAAAACCTCTCATTGAAGCCTTTCGTGTTGTGGATTTAAGTTTGCCTGGTGGTTGTTCTGACTTAGGCTCCCTTAACAAGCAGGAGGCAGGAATTACAGTCAAAACCTCTTTTGTTTACACAGACTGTGAATTACGTTCATTCCCAGTCAGCAAAGTTTGTCCGAACAGTTTTTCAGAGGAATATTTCTCAACACACCTTATCTTGATTGGCAAGCTGCCACTTAATTTGTTTCCAACCGCAATAGAAGGCAAAACGTGGCATAGAGTCTCTCAGAGTCACGGAATGAATGAATGGTTTCCTGCAAAAGCTCCCTCCCTGTTCACTCCTCTTTTATTTCCTATGGGAGGGGCCAATCACCTTCAAGGTGTGGCTTTACTCCTGAGTCGACCCTGCTTTCTGAGTTGTTCTTGTCTTCTAGCAGCTCTGCGCATGCGCACACTGGGAACAGGCTTCAGCTGTTCCTCTGCCTCGCTGCTAACTTCCTCTTTGCCTCCAACGCAGAGCCCTCGTCCCAGCTTTCCCCAGCCCCCAGGACTGGCCCAAGTTCCTCCACAACCTCCCCACTGTCTGACTCTGCTGCCAGCTCTGCTGGCTGCCGGTGGGCCACAACACTGGGTTTAATGAGAAACTTTCAAGTGCCTTGTGGACTCTTTGGCCATTGTTCTGTGGACTAGCATTGGTCTGCTTGTGGCTGGACTTCATTTATTTATTTATTTATTTATTTATTTATTTATTTATTTATTTATTACTTATTTATTAGTTCGATTTATATATGCCGCCCTTCTCTGGAGACTCAGGGCGGCTTACAATGCATTAAGCAATAGCCTTCATACTTTTGTATATACCTGCTTAGTAGGGCTTTCGGCCCTCCTTAAGCGGTGTTCTTTTTTATACAAAGTCAGCTTATTGCCCCCACAAACCGGGTCCTCATTTTACCTACCTCGGAAGGATGGAAGGCTGAGTCAACCTTGAGCCTGGTGAGATTTGAACTCACAGTAATTGCAGGCAGCTGGCAGCTAAGTGCTACTTTAACAGCAGCAGTTTAGTCCACTGTGCCACCAGGCTCTGTCTAATTGGGACAGTCCTGGGTTTTTGGTGAAGGGAATTGTTGGGGAATATCAATGAACTCACTAAACCAGGGGTCTCCAACCTGGGCAACTTGAAGACTTGTGGAAAGCTGGCTGAGGAACTCTGGGAGTTGAAGTCCACAAGTCTTAAAGTTGCCCAGGTTGGAGACCCCTGCACTAAACTACACTTAGGTGTGTGTGAGAGTGAGCAGGACAGCACAGTTATTTCGAATTCTAATGACACCAAATTCATCTTTCTCTCCCCCCCCCCCCCCCTTTTTTTTTGTTGCTTTAACAGTCTGTGAAGTGACCGTCCCGCAAAATCTGAATCCGGCCAAGCGTCCTCGGCGACAGGACTGGGATGGTGAACTGTATGAAAACGGATCGTTTTACTTTGCCAAAAGGGCCTTAATTGAAAAGGGGTATTTGCAGGTGGGTATGCCAGTGCTGTTTGTCCTTCGTTTGCCATAGCACTTCCAAGTTGGGCTTCTGAAAAAGCTATTCAATTCTTTCGATGCTATCCTTTAATAGCTCCGATTTAGGAACTGGCTGAATTTTTTTTCCTCAGTTTTTTTTTCTTTCTTTCTTAAAGTCCTCCTGTAAGGGGTGGTTTGACCCTCAAAGCCAGATTGATGACAGAGTTGATTTTTAAATTAAAAAAAAATAGAAGAGGAAGGGAGACTTTCAATCCCACTTCCCTGGAATTGCTCTCCAGATTGTCTTTCTGTTTTACATTCCTAGCTGTAGAGCATGAATCAACTGTGCCACCTAAAACGTTGATAAATCCACCCCAGCTGAAAGGCCATAGTAGATTGGATTTATATTTTGTTTTTCCTAAACAGATTTTCCTATTTACTATTATTGATGCAGAAGCACAGCTGGTATGAATTATTATTATTATTATTCCACCCAGAGTGTTGAGGTGAATTTAAGAGGTAGATAATTTATTGTTTCTTAAGTAGAACCAAAATATCAGAGAGGAACAAAGAAATGGATGGATGGATGGATGGATGGATGGAAGGAAGGAAGGAAGGAAGGAAGGAAGGAAGGAAGGAAGGAAGGATAAAAAGCAGAGAGAGGGAGGGAGAGGGAAGGAAGGAAGGAAGAAGGAAAAGGAGGGAGGAAGGGGGAGAGGAAGGGAGGGAGGGAGAGAGGGAAGGAAGGAAGGAAAAGGGAGGGAGAGAGGAAGAAAGGAAGGACGATTGATTGGTATGTTTTTTATAAGGCTTAAACTATGCAAACTTAAAAACGATTAGAAAAAGCTGGTGGTGGCATTCCTTACCAATAAACAATATAGGAAAGGTGAGGAATATGAGGAATAAGAGGAAGGAAGGACTATCAACATCCAGATAGGAAATCCAGATGATCTTTTTCTGTTCATTCTTACTGCAGTGAGCCCTAATCTTGTTAAATCCAAGATTTTATTTAAGGAAGAAAGACTAATAAGGAAATAGTTGAACTAGACCAATCATAGTGAGTTGTTTGGAATATTGTGTGCATAGTTCTTGCCCACTCTTCTTTAGATTGGATATATTGGTTTAATTAGATTTTCCTTCATTAGAACTTTCTCCATTTGTTAGACCAGCGGCCTCCAATCTTTTGGGATCCAGGGACCAGTTCCATAGAGGGCAGTTTTTCCATGGACTGGGAGTGTGTTGTTTCACGCACTGCCTGGATTCTGCATATTTGCGGATGGGGCTTCGATCACTTGCCCAGCCCTGTTCCTACATGGTTCCTAGTTATCATTTATTTGTAGGAATTGACACAAGATTTGTTAAGTTTTGGACTTCTGGATTTTGGGGCAGTAAGGTCAGCGCATCTTTTCTGTTTTTGATAGGGTGGAAGCTTGAAGGAAGAAGTCTGTAGTAGAAAATCTAACATGTTTTCCTGAAAATAAGACCGGGTCTTATATTAATTTTTCCTCCAGAAGACACATTAGGGCTTATTTTCCAATTAGGGTTTATTTTCGGGGAAGTACAGTACTAAATGTTCATCTGGCTGACAATCTTAACTGGGGCTTATTTTTGGGGTAGGGCTTATATTACAAGCATCCTGAAAAATCATGCTAGGGCTTATTTTCCAGTCGACTCTTATTTTCAGGGAAACAGGGTAGAAGCTTCACAGACTAGGAGAGGTAAACAGCAACAGCATAACAGCATAAATACTTTTCTTTAAGGAATCCTCCAAAACAAAATATATGCTTTTTAAAATTATGTCTCCCTTCCAGTTTATAACACTTCCTTACTGGCTATGTATTTTCTTTTTAACTGAAATAGAAATTCCTATGACTATTGTATATTCTGAGTTTTACTGGATTTAGAAGCTAATGATCTATAATGTAAATCTTGAGCCATGGTGGCACAGTGGCTGCAACGCAGTATTGCAGGCTGAATTTGGCCACTGCCAGGAGTTCGATCAGGGTGGACTCAACCTTCCATCCTTCCAAGGTTGGTAAAGTGAAGACCCAGATTGTTGGGGGCAATAGGCTGACTCTGTAAGCCACTTAGAGAGGGGCTATAAAACATTATGAAGCGGTATATAAGTCTAAGTGCTATTGCTATAGTGCTACGTCCAGGGGTGGGCTCCTGGTGGTTCGGCAGGGTTCGGGCGATTCTCTAGCCAGACCCATGATCTTTCACAGTTTCAGGGTATATAACATGGTCACAGGTCTTTTACTTCTAAAAGGGGGAGAAAAAAGGAGATTTGCCTGCAAATTGGGCTGGAATGCAATTTCTGTCTCTCCTCTGCAGACTTGTGCCTGTACATAACCCCTGTGGAGTTCAGAGGTGTGGGCAAGATTGACTGACCCATGCTTTCATTTTTATTTAGGGTGGGAAAATGGCATACTACGAAATGCGAGCTGAGCACAGTGTGGACATCGATGTTGATATAGATTGGCCTATCGCGGAGCAACGGGTCCTAAGGTGAACAGAGAAACTGGCTTTCTCGAGCGGTGGCAGTGATGTTCTCCTCCTTTGAGAAATCTCATAGTGCTAGGGTGTACCATCAGCAGGTACCTTTGCCAGAGTCCTTGGTGCTCTCTTGAGCCTGGTTGTTTTGTTGCAGACGTTTCATTACCCAATGTCATAAAAATATCCCAATAAAGAGGAACACAGACAAACCCCAAGCAATTAATATTACCTTACGACAGGGGTGAAATCCAGCAGGTTCTGACAGGTTCTGGAGGATAAGAAGTGGAAATTTTGAGTAGTTCAGAGAACCGGCAAATACCACCTCTGGCTGGCCCCAGGAGTGGGGTGGGAATGGAGATTTTGCAATATCCTTCCCCCAGGAGTGGGGAGGGAATGGGGATTTTGCAGTATCCTTCCCCTGGAGTGGGGTGGGAATGGAGATTTTGCAGTATCCTTCCCCTGCCACGCCCACCAAGCCACAGCATGCCCACCAAGCCACGCCCACAGAACCGGTAGTAAAAAAAATGTGGATTTTCCCACTGCCTTAAGATGAGAGGTTTATTTCATGAGCAATTTGGAACACGAATAGCCAACATAGCAATGCAATTCCACAACAAAACGTACATTAAACCATTGCTAAACCATCTTACAAGGACTGCTGTTGGGCAAAGGACACCATTCCCATCTCAAGCCACATTTCTTATACCTTCTTTTTTTACTGACATACACATTCCATAGTTTTACTTCCCTGTTCTTTCTTACATTCTTACTGACCGCCACTGTCTGCAAACACCCGTGTACATCTCAAACCTCGATCCATCGGCTACTTTCAGTTCCCTATTTCTCACCGTTTCAATGTTCTGATTCCAAATATATCTCAAAACTACGTACCATATTTTTCGGAGTATAAGACGCTCCGGACTATAAGACGCACCTACTTTTTTTGGTGAGGAAAAGAAGAAAAAGAAATCTGCCTCTGCCTCCCAGCAATTTTGCCTCGCTACAGCAAACAGCCTGCTTTACTTCCATTTTCGTTTTCAGCTTAGCTTGATTAGCACAAAAAAAAAAAAATCTGCTCCCAGCAATTTACCTCCTTGCAGCAAGCAGCAGAGGCCCGCACAGCAATAGGCAATGGCAATCCCTGCAGCCTGAAACAGCTGAGAGTCGGGAGGCCGATCCAATGGGCAATCAACTTGTGCTAATTAGGCTGTGCTGAAGCTGAAATGGGCTGTTCCTGCTTGCTGCAAGGAGGTAAATTGCTGGGAGGCAGAGGCCAAAGAGTGGGGGCCAGTGGGTCGGTGGGACTACATTCGGTGTATAAGATACACCCAAATTTTCACCCCCTTTTAGGGGGGGGCGAAGTGCGTTTTATACTCCGAAAAATATGGTGCTTTGCAAAATCACATTTCACAGCAACAGCTCAGCAGGATAGTTCTGATACACTTTGAAATCTTTCTATCTAACTCTTTCTATCTAAAACTTTGGTTCATGTAGCCTTTTTAGGGCCTGCTATCCTTCTGAGACCTATGGATTCTGGTAGTCCAATTGGCTATTTGTTGCTTTCTCACACCAACTAGGTAAGGTCATTAGTGCTTGAAGGGAATGCGGTTAAACTACCTCCTAGTACTGATGCTGTTACCTAGCTGGGTAATGAAAGGTCTGCGAGCTCAGAGAGAGCACCAAGGACCCCTCATTTCAATCCTGAGCTATTTCTCTAGATACCCTTCTTCCAGAATAGAATAGAATAGAATAGAATAGAATAGAATAGAATAGAATAGAATAGAATAGAATAGAATAGAATTTTTTATTGGCCAAGTGTGATTTGTCTTGGTGCATCATCAAGACAGGATATCAAGAAGAATCAAAAATCATAAGGTACAACACTTAATGATAGTCATAGGGTACAAATAAGCAATCAGGAAACTATCAATATAAATCATAAGGATACAATGGGAACGATGCATTTTTTTTCCCTCTTGGTCTTCCAGCCGCCTTCTTGCCGATAGAATGCAACATAAATAAACTGGGTTCCTCCCGGGGTGAAATCCAGCAGGTTCTGACAGGTTCTGGAGAACCGGTAGCGGAAATTTTGGGTAGTTCAGAGAACCGTCAAATACCACTTCTGGCTGGTCCCAGAGTGGGATGGGAATGGAGATTTTGCAGTATCCTTCCCTGCCACACCCTCCAAGCCACTCCATGCCCACCAAGCCACACCCACCGAACCGGTAGTAAAAAAAAAATGGATTTCACCACTGGTTCCTCCCCTCTTTTTCCATGACTGTAAACCATATTTCCAGATATGGCTACTTTGGGAAAGAGACCTTAAAGGAAGTGAAGCTTCTGGTATGTACCATCGACGGATGCCTCACCACCGGCCACCTCTACATCTCCGAAGATGGGAAAGAGATGGTTTCCTATGATGTCAGAGATGCGGTTGGCATCAATCAGCTTCAGAAAAGAGGCGTAGAGGTACATCTTAACTCTTGTCTTTGGGGATGGATTTTTAGAGTAGGGATGTATCAACATGGGCCAGTCCTAGAATCTGGGGAAGGCTCTGATGAGGGCTCTGCATCGGAGGCAGAGAGAGGGCCAGGGCCGGATGCCAGTTATCAGCTGCCTTCAAAGTCAGACATCAGTGAGGCAGACGAACAGCTGGAGCCTATTCCCAGTGTGCGCATGCACAGAGTTGCCAGACGAAGGGAACAGCTAAAGAACAAGGGTCGACTTGGGAGTAAGGCCACAGGTGGACGATGAATGGCCCCTCCCATAAAAGAGGAGCGAAAGGGGAGTGGAGTTTGCAGGAGACAAACTGTCCTGACCTAGGTGTTCCAAAACCACCCGCAGGTCACAATTACCGATTCGCCCAAACCGGGACGAACCGGCTGAATCCCACCCCTGAGTCTTTCTTTCTCTCTTCCCACACTTGCAAAGGAAGTCCTGGAAGGTGCACTCCCTTTCTTCCAGCAGCAGACACACACACACACACACACATGCTCAGAAGGCGCTACAGATTCCAAGAAGAATTCTGATAATTTCCAGACAGGATTTGGAAGTGCAGGCCATCAATGGCTGACCGGCAGGGAGATGAATAGTTGTCTGCCACATCTATTCATCTGCCACCCCCCTGTCTTTTATCCCCAGAGCTAGGATGGGGCTTCGCTAGCAGCGGTGGCTCTTCTGTCCCAAGGACCGGCTCATAGATTCCCACTGCTCTCCTCTCCTCTGCCTTCTGCACATCCGCGCGTCAGGCACTGGATCCAGCTGTTCCTCCTCTTCCTCATCAGCCCCCTCTAGACCTGGGAGCTGTTGACTCTCCACCTGAGGGCTGACGGACGGCCCAGGCTCCGCCTCTGTCTTTCTGTGATAGCTCCATTCCTTCTTCCCCCTCAGATCTCTCAGGTTGCCTTGATGCTGGCCCTGACATCCACGCTCCCTGCTCATCTGATACGGTTGCTGGAGGGGCCGGTGGCCGACAGTGCTTTAATGCACATGACGTTTTGCTTGGCACTGACGACGTTACCTAGTTTGGTAATGAAACGTCTTGCAAGAAAACAACCAAGCTCAGAGAGCACCAAGGAGCCCACGGTTCAAACCCTGGTCTACAAAGGTGCTGATCCTCTGCCAGCACTTGTAACAGCCTTTTGTTTGTCCAGGTGCGGCTGATCTCCGAGAGGGACTGTTCCACCAAGGCGCTCTTGACCTCGAAGTTGGGCTGTACCGTGGAAGTCGGGGTGATAGACAAGCTGGGTGTCGTGGAGAAATGGCGGAAGTCCATGGGGCTGTGTTGGAAGGAGGTTGCGTACTTAGGTGAGGTCTTTTCCGAATGCTGTTGCTGATTTCGTTGACTAAGGCTCTGCTGGAAGTTTCTGAAAAGTTGGCTTCCTCTGCGGACGAGATTTCCATTTTCCTACTTTATGCTTCAGCTACTTTATTATTTCCCCGGCGGATGGTTTTTGAGCTTCTCTCAATCATTGGAAGCAGAAAAAGAGTACAGGTAGTCCTCGACTTAACAACCATAATCGAGCCCAACATGTTCTGTTAAGTGAGTTTTGCCCCTTGTTACGACTTGTCTTGCCACCTTTGTTAAGTGAATCACTGCAGTTGATAAGTTAGTCACCCGGTTATTAAGTGAATCTGGTTTCCCCATTGACCTTGTTTGTCCGAAGGTCGCAAAAGAGGATCACATGACCTTGGGTCCTTCCCCCCCTTTTTTTCCCCCTCTTTTTTTTTCCTTTTCCCCTATAGAGAACTATACATTTTAGTTATCTCTTTACTATTGTACATTTCTACCTTCATATTATGTACATTTTTATTCCACTCCGCACATCTGATACATCCTATTTTGTACTTCTATTTTTCTCTCCTCATAGTTATTGTTCTTTATTGTTAGTCTTGAGCTAATTATACCATTTATTCCATATTCTATAATATTCTGTCTCTTCATATTATGTACATTTTTATTCCACTCCGCACATCTGATACATCTCTATTTTGTACTTCTATTTTTCTCTCCTCATAGTTATTGTTCTTTATTGTTAGTCTTGAAGCTAATTATACCATTTATTCCATATTCTATAATATTCTGTCTCTTCTTTTTCCTTAATTTCTTTCGTTAATCTGTCTAATACATAAGATTTTAGAATGCGCTAAGATGGACAGAATCTTTTATATTCCAAATCAATTTTTAGAACGATGACAGCTCAAGGATTTTAATTTGCAAGCCCGCCATTTTTTTCCCCCCAATTACCTCAGAAACGCCTCTAACAATATTTAACCAATTTTTTTTGTTTAACAAAAGGCTGCGATCGTTCACCGAAGATGCTTTTTTTTTCTCCCCCCCCCCCCCCAATCACCCACAGGAAATGAAGACTCAGATGTGGAGTGTCTGAAGAAAGCCAGCATGAGCTCCGTCCCTGCGGACGCATGTCCGGCTGCACAGAAAGCGGCAAGCTACATCTGCAGGTCCAATGGCGGCCGCGGGGCAGTTCGGGAATTTGCCGAGCACATCCTCCTTTTGATGGAAAAGGTGAATTCGGCTGGAAAAAACTCGGGCCGACCAAGCTAGGAAGTCGCCTCTAAGCAGCGTCTCGGGAGAGAGATGGGATTCTGCTTCGTTGATTTTGCTGGGGGTGTCCTTTCCTCTGCTTGGCTTTTGACATTTCCAGAATCCCAAAAAGGACCCCGACAATAATCTTTGAAATATCTGCTTTATTATTATTATTATTGAACGGGTGATGAAATCGTTACTGAATTGATGCAGACCCAAAGTGGCAGGAAAATCCAATAAATCCAAAGACACGCTATTGCCGGACACATCCGTGGAGATTGTCGGTCATCCAGGTCATGGTTGTCCCAAAGGTGCTTTTTTTTCCAAGAGACAACTGGACTTTCTTTGTTTTTCTTTGAAGACCTTTCGCTTCTCATCCAAGAAGCTTCTTCAGCTCTTGACTGGATGGTGGGGAATGGAAGGATTTCTATTCCTTGCAGACAGCTGGTCATGTGCATTCTTTTAGAGAGTCGTTGAAAAGGGATGCGGTGACTCAGTGGCTAAGACGCTGAACTTGTCGATCAGAAGGTCGGCAGTTCAGCAGTTCGAATCCCTAGTGCCGTGTAACAGGGTGAGCTCCCGTTACTTGTCCCAGCTTCTGCCAACCTAGCAGTTCGAAAGCATGTAAAAAATTCAAGTAGAAAAATAGGGACCACCTTTGGCATTGAGTCATGCCGGCCACATGAGCACGGAGACATCTTCGGACAGCGCTGGCTCTTCGGCTTTGAAACGGAGATGAGCACCACCCCCTAGAGTCAGGAACGACTAGCACGCATGTGCAAGAGGAACCTTTACCTAGAGAGTCGTTGAGGCCACCTGGAGGTTTTATCTGTGTCTTCAGGGTCACCTGAGTGGTGCATATGGGTGTGCAGCCTTCTTGGAACTGTTGAAAGGACGGTGTTGTAGACTGGTGATAGATGATGTCGTATCCTTCCCCCCCCCCCCCCACTCTCTGTCGAGAGAGGGCTGTACAGTTTTGACATCGATGGCCTCTTTGACCCCTCTTTCAAACTAGCCATCTGCAAGGAGTATAAATCCTTCCTTTCCCCGCCAGCCAACCAGAACTGAAGAAGCTTCTTGGATGAGAAGTGAAACGTCTTCAACGAAAAACCGGAAAGTCCAGTTGCCTCTTGAAAGAATATTGCCCGACACGTTTCCTAGAAGACTTAAATAGTTTACAGCCTTATTCCCTGATTATTATTTTTTTATTTTATGTTTGTTGGTTTTTGCAGCCTGATCATTTAGGCAAATAGAAGCAGTAGGAAAAAATGCTTGGGTTTTTTTTTTTTTTTCTCATTCTGGCTACAGTGCCATGCCATTATATAAGGAATTTAACACTGTGTGGACATCAAATGGAACTTAATATTTTGCCAGAGGGTGTCTTCTAAGTTCTGAAGTCTCCCGACAGATAGGAATATACATTCTTGATTTTATGTTCAAGATTCTCCATAACAAGCTTTATTTTATGCTGTTGCCTTAGATTGGCTCCTCTAAGCCAACATGTCTCAATCTTGGCAACTTTGAGACGTATGGACTTCAACTCCCAGAATTCCCCAGTCAGCCATGTTGACTGTGGAATTCTGGGAGTTGAAGTCCGTATGTCTTAAAGTTGCTGAGATTGAGAAAGGCTGCTCCAAGCTGAGTCACACAGGTGATATATGCTGTCACCTGTTCAATTGGGGAGCATCAATTTTTTGGGGAGGGTCTGAAGTTGCAAATAATAATTGGGGAGCGGGGAAAGGCATGAGTGCCAAAGGCAGGGCAGTGATGCCGACGGGTTAGAGTCCTATCATTTCTTTTCCTGAATTTGAGGAGGACAGATTTGAGCAGGAGGGCAGGTGGTCAATCTTTAAAGGTTTATGGGCCACCGGTAATGATAAAGACTTCCGTTGTGAATTCCTTGGGGGACTTATTGACGGGATGACCCAGCTCATCTGCTTGGCCACATCGCTGAGCAAAGTCTTCCTCCTCCTGAGCTCCTTGACAACAGTTCTCCTCCTGATGTTCCCCCAGGTCCAGTGGTGGGATTCAAATAATTTAACAACTGGTTCTCTGCCCTAATGACCGGCTGGGTGGGCATGGCCAGGGGGTGTGACAGGCAGCACTCGGCCACCTGCACACACCCCCGGGAGCAAAAATAGGCTGCGGGGGGAATGCACTGTTCCCCCATGCCCCATTTTGGGCCTAGTAGGCCTCCCTGCAGCCTCCTGAGAGTAAAAATGGGGTATGGAGGGGCTGCACCACACCCCTGTGCCCCGTTTTGGGCCTAAGAGGCCTCCGTAAAGCCTCCTGGGAGCGAAAATGGGTCATGGGGGGCCTCTGCCCCCCCACGTCCCGTTTTGGGCCTAGGAGGACTCCCTGCACTTACCTGGGAGCCAAAATGGGGAGCATGGGGACTCCTGGAAGGGGAGGGGCGCAATTTAACTACCGGTTAAGGGAAGTCAGCAATTTAACTACCGGTTCGCCTGAACCAACCCGAACCGGCTGAATCCCACCACTGCCCATGTCCTAGACTAGCAGTGGGGAACGGTGGATGGCCCTTTTATGACTTGTGGATTTCAATTCCTAGAATTCTAGGAGTTGAAGTCCACAAATCATAAAAGGGCCATCTGTCCCCAGACAGTGATCTGATGCGATCCCGTTTTTTTGTAGATCCAATCTTTTGCTTCTGGTGCACTTTTGTTCTCTTGAGAGCAGCCATTTGATAATGAAGGAAAGTCTTTAGGAAATTAAAAAAGCACGTAATGAGAGATGGAAATTGGGTGTTTTTCTTCCACTTGCTAGCTCAGAATCGGTGGGAGGGTCCAATAAGATGGCAGGAGAACGTTCTCATGTTCAGTTCAAACTTGTAGCCCCCGAAGCGTGCATATTCTGAAGGAAAGACCCGACAATGCAGGAGGATCCTTGCCTTTGCCGTGGAACAGATTTTTGCAGTACAGGGAGTCCTCGATTTACAACCATTCGTTTAGTGACCGTTCAGCGTTATAACGGCACTGAAAAAAGATTTATGACCGTTTCCCACTTACGACCATTGTAGCATCCCCGTGATCAAAATTTGAACACTTGGCCACCGACTCATATCTATGACAGTTGCAGTGTCCCCTTTTTGTGACCGTCTGGCGAATAACATAGAAGCCAGATTCATTTAACAGCCGTGTTGCTAAGTTTAATAAGTGCGGTGTTAACAACTTGAAAACTGGAGGCCAGAAAGGTCATAAAATGGGGCAACACTCACTTAACAACTCTCTTGCTTAGCAACAAGTATGTTGGGCTCAATTGTGGCCATACACCTTGCGCCCAAATCCAACCCCATGGGCTGGATTCACCTCACACGCTAAGACATATCTGTGTTACCCGAATGTACCTGTTAGCTCTTTAACTTTAAGGTGGTTGGATCATCTCATCTGCTATGACAATTATTTATTTCATTTATTTCATTATTGGGCCGCAGATTATTTTCTGACTAAATCGATGGGCCGAAACAGGTTTCCTGAGTCAATTGTACATCAGATAATCTGCTGGTATTTACAGGGGGTGAATGTTGTTGTTGTTTTTTAATTCCAGGATTCTAATGTTTGTATGTTTGATTATTTTTAAGAAAATCTGTGATGAAGATTGATTGTGATTCCTTTGTTGTTGTTGTTGTTTACTTTTCAGTGGGCTTGCGGGCTTTATGTTTTTCCCCCCCTGAAAGCTCAGAAGTGGAGGATAGATAGATGAAATTTTGGATAAATAAATAAATGTCCAACTTTTTTTTTCAGTCATGCTTTTAAAAGTAACCTTTTCCTCTAATCTTTTTTTTCTTTTAAGTTTTTTATTTTTTTTACAAAATAATATTTTTTTTTCTTCTTATCTTGTTAGCCTTTTGGACAAAGGCAACTGTCAAGTACAAGAAGCATCTACAGAGAAGCAGGGGTGAAATGTAAAATTTGTTACTACCGGTTCTGTGGGTGTGGCTTGGCAAGGGGGGGGTAATGTGACTGGGTGGGCGTGGCCAACTTTTTTTTTTTTTTTTTAACTTTTCAAAGCATTTTTCCTAATGCTTTGAAAAGCCTCTGCCGATCAGGCAACTCAGCTGGGATCAACAGAGACTTTTCAAAGCATTTGTTTTACCACCTCTTCGGCCAAGAGGTTGCAGAAAAAAATGCTTTGAAAAGCCTCTGATGATCCCAGCTGAGCCGCGTGATCATCAGAGGCTTTTTTTTTTTAACTTTTAAAAGCATTTTTTCGTTGGAAGAGGTTGTAGAAAAAATGCTTTTAAAAGTAAAAAAAAAAAAAGCCTCTGATGATCGTGTGGCTCATCTGGGCATGGGTCGGGGGGCGCAGGGATTTTTGCTATTGGTTCTCCGAACCACCCACCACCATCGCTACCAAATCAGGCGATCCAGTCCGGACCGGGAGCATTTCACTCCTGCAGAGAAGGGTCTGAAAAGTCACAATGACACCTACTATGTTGTGATTTTTGCTTTCCCCTGGTTCCACCCACCTGTGGACATCCCTGGCAGGAACTTTATGGGTTGCCTCTTCCTTCTGTGAAAGAAGGTAAGAAGACTTTGAGCTAGAAATATTCTCCCTTAGCTATTTGCAGTGGTACCCAAGGAGAATTTCCATGCGTAGAAAAATGTAGATGTGTTTGTAGGCTGAAATACCATTCTGGGCAAAGTGATTTTAACATTTGTGTTACCTTCCCACCAAAGTGGTACCTATTTATCTACTCGCGCTTGCCTGCTTTCAAATTGCTAGATGGGCAATTTGCTGGCGCAAGAAATGGAAGCTCGTCCCATCACATGTCACAAGGTTTGACACCTGACAAGTTCAATGTCTTTAACCACTGAGCCATTGTGCCCCTAAATACATATATTTAGAAGCCCACCTTGCTGTAACATTTCACATCATGTGAAATGTAAATACTGGCCAATTTAGCGGACATGAATTACTGTATTTTTCGGAGTATATAAGACGCTCCGGACTATAAAGATGCACCTACCTTTTTGGGGGAGGAAAACAAGAAAAAAAATCTGCCTCTGCCTCCCAGCAATTTGCCTCCTTGCAGCAAACGGCAAATATCCTGTTTCAGTTTCATTTTCCTTTTCAGCACAGCCTGATTAGCACAAGAAAAAAAAAAAATCTGCCGCTGCTGCCCAGCAATTTGCCTCCTTACAGCAAACAGCGGAGGCTGAAAATGGGGCACGCGGAGGTGGCAATAGGAAATGGCAATCCCTACAGTCTGAAACAGCTGATGGTCGGGAGGCCGACTATCAGCTGCTTGTGCTAATCAGACTGTGTTGAAGCTGAAACTGAAATGGGCTGTTTGCTCCAAGGAGGCAAATTGCTGGGAGGCAGAGGCCAGAGGGTGGGGGCCGGCGGGTGGGTGGGGCTACATTCGGTGTATAAGACGCACCCAAATTTTCACCCTCTTTTGGGGGCGGGGGAGTGCGTCTTATACTCCAAAAAATACAGTATCTTGAGAGCTATGAGAATTGGATTACTCTCAGTAATTACGCTTCATCATACAAATAAAATCTTATCCTACTTCTCTTTCCCCCCCCCATAAGATCACCCTTTCTGTGATCTACTGTAAAACATGGTTTCTTCTTAAAGCCACAATAGGCAAAGTTTCTACAACGCTGAGGCAAAAACCAACCATCCACAGCAGGATGGGTGAAGCCTTTTTGTCTTGAAACCATTTTGAAATTTTACTTTTGGCCAAATAATTTTGTATCTCTCCCGCCCATTTTTCACCCTTGTTTTACCTTTCACTTTAATATGCAAAATCAATTGCCTGTCCAAAAGAGATCTGGTGAACTCTGGACTGGGGGAAAAAGAGCCAAATTTGTAATAATATATTAATGCTGGATGAAGGAATATCCCGATATGAATAGCTGGTATTTAGATTAGAAGGATGAAACAAAACTTTTAAATAAGATATCCCCCCCCCCCTTCAGGACTCAAATCACCTGAAAATGGTTTTTGGGGGGAGAAAAACGGTCCAAAAATTGCTACTGGTTTATAAATATGAAGTATAAATATATTTATAAAATATCAGACTATCAAATACATTTTCCGCCAGATGCCGAGGTCCGATGTATTTTCTGGGAACTATGAATAAAGGACTTCTGTCCAAATGCTCTTTATTGATTTGTCTTGTTGATTATTTATAAGTGTGAATAAAATGTAATCAAATAGGTTTTATTTTTTGTAAAATTCAAGAATAAAATAAAAAAAACCTTGTACAACCGTATTGATGCTCTTCATTCTTCCCAATGGAAACAAATACCACACAATGAGTAACGGGTGAGATGAGTAATTTGGTCTGTGTTGCAGAGTCGTTGCATGTGACAGATTCTGTTGACATCTCAGCTTCCTATTTCTGATAATCCTCCGGTATTGAAATGTCCACCTGGATAGGAACCAATCAAGTGTTTAAGGCTGTGTTCACACAATAGGCTTAAAGGAGTTCACTGCATTATACAGGTAGTTCTCAACTTACAACCTTTCATTTAATGAACGTTCAAAGTTACAGTGGCACCGAAAACTGAGTTATGACTGTTTTTCATATTTAAGACCATTGTAGCATCCAACGGATGCCCTAATTAAATCATGAGTCTTCAGCCAAACTTCAAAAGAAATCCAGTCATTTCTTAGGAGCTTCATGTCGGCACCTTCCCAAGTGAAGCCAACTCTGATCCTACATAATTTACGCTCAGAATAGAATAGAATAGAATAGAAGAATAGAATAGAATAGAATAGAATGATAGAATTTTTTATTGGCCAAGTGTGATTGGACACACAAGGAATTTGTCTTGGTGCATATGCTCTCAGTGTACATAAAAGACAAGATACGTTCATCAAGAATCATAAGGTACAACACTTAATGATAGTCATAGGGTACAAATAAGCAATCAGGAAACAATATCAATACAAATTGTAAGGATACAAGCAACAAAATTACAGTCATAAGTGGAAGGAGAAAGGTGGTGGGAACCATGAGAAGATTAATAGTAGTGCAGACTTAATAAATAGTTTGACAGTATTATGACCCTGTTTCCCCCCTGCCCCCAGGATGTGTCATAAATCACATTCGCCAACGGAGCAATTTCATGGGTTGTAGAGGTCAACTCCCCTTCGACTACTGTAGGTATCCCTGGGATACAGCCTTGAGGGAGATAAGCGTGGAATGTGCATCTGTTTTTGGCTGCTGTGCAGTTTCGCCAGTTTCCCATCCCCCTTGGCCTATGGCAACTCAAGAGCAGGCCAGGGATGCTTTGCGAGTTAACATTCCACACAGTCATGTGATCAAACTTCAGACGCTTGGCACCTGACTCATATTTATGACCGTTGCAGCATCCCAGGGGTCACGTGATCCCCTTTTGTGACCTTCTGACGAGCAAAGTCAATGAGGAAGCCCGGTTCATTTCACAACCGTGTTACTATCATAACAACTGCAGTGATTCATTTAACAACGGTGGCAAGAAAGGTCGTAAAATTGGTTTAGGCTCACTTAACCAACGTCTCACTTAGCAACATACGTTTTGGGCTCAATTGCCGTAGGTCGAGGACTGCCTGTGTTTGGCAGAGCATGTTCTGCCAAACACACAGAGAGAGGGGGGGGGGGGGAGGGAGGGAGAGAGAGAGAGAGATTCACTATTCGAAGGATGTTCATCCCAAAGGACAAGCTGGCTCAGGAATTCTGGGAGTTGAAGTCCACAGGTTGTAAAAGGGCCACAGTTGCCCACCCTTGGTCTATGGAGATTCTCTGTCATCCAGGACGGTCACAGTTGTCCCAAAAGTGCCTTTTTTCTGGAGGCATCTGGACTTCCCTTTGCAACATCTGTGACCTGGATGACTGAGAATCTCCATAGACAGATGATCTGAGACTGATTTTACCTGTTAAGTATTAAGTGTGCTGAACAGTCCCAGAATGCTGATTGGCTTGATAGGAAAAAAAAACAACAACAAACAAAATATCAACCTGTTGATCTGAATCCGGTCCTGGATCAATCACTGCAACGTTCGGATCTCCTATACAAATGTAAATGTTGCAGAACCTGTGGTGGGAGATCACCTGCTATAGTGGGGGCTTTTTTGGGGGGGTGGGAGACAAGCTCCCCAGTATAGCTAGTGTTTGTGCCACAAGTAAAAATAATGGAGTGTGTTGCTTTATCTTTTGTGTAGAGCAAGTGTCAGCAACCTGCGGCTCTGGAGCCGCATGCGGCTCTTTCATCCCTCTGCTGCGGCTCCCTGTTGCCGATCAGCTCCACAATTGATAGGGCTTTTGGTTAGGATAGTTAAAGGAAAAAGGACGCCACTCTAGGAGGAGACTCTATGGTGGGGGAACAGGACTTCCAGTCGGCAGGGGAAAAAGGACACCACGCTAGGAGGAGAAGCAAATTTCCAGTTGGCTCCAGAATTGAACTATTTATTTATTTATTTATTTATTTATTTATTTATTTATTTATTTATTCAACTTGTGTACCACCCTTCTCCCCAAGGGGACTCAGGGCAGTGAACAGCCAAACTTAAAACACATATAATACAAAAGTTAAGAAAAAAACTAAAAATAAATTGAATCATCGGCATTTCCAATTTAAAATCCCAGATCTACAAAATCAAAAGTTCCCAATTTAAAACCCAAAATCAATAAAATCGAAGATTTAAAAACCTCATTAAAACCATTTTAAGCTAGGCCATCTTGCTGGAATAAATAAGTCTTCAGGGCCTTTCGGAAAGCGCGGAGATCCGGGATCAGTCGTATTCCGGGAGGTAGCTCATTCCACAGGTTGGGTGCCCCCACAGAGAAGGCTCTCCCCCTGGGGGCTGCCAGCCGACATTGCTTGGCCGACGGCACCCTGAGGAGGCCCTGTCTGTGCGAGCGTACTGGCCGGTGGGAGGTAATCGGTATCCGGTCTTGCAGGTATCCCGGCCCTATGCCATGGAGCACTTTAAAGGTGAGAACCAACACCTTGAAGCGCACCCGGAAAACCACTGGGAGCCAGTGCAGCTCGCGCAGGAGAGGTGTTACGTGGGAGCGCTCTGTGGCTCCCATAATCACCCACGCGGCTGCATTCTGGAGCTTCCAGTTAGGACCTTTGTGGCTCTTTGAGTGTTTAAGGTTGCCGACCACTGATATAGAGCGACCTCACACGTGCACGTCCATCTGCGTCTGAAGACGGGGCATGAAAACCATAGGCCTGCAATTCCATTCGACCGCTAGATGGTGCTAAACAGTAGCTTAAAATTTCGTGGGGAAACCGGAGCTGAGCCAGATTTTGTGCAATTTTCATCACCTGCCTTTTAGCAAGCCCAGGTAATTCCTGGCTTTAGTTTATCTGAAAAAAAAAAAAAAAAAAAACTAAATAAATAGTTGTCTGAGATTGATCTTGGACAATCACTTAAATATGAGCCAGCGATGTGCAGCAGCTGCCAAAAGAAGCCAACTGAGTGGTAGGCTGCATTAGCAGAGGGATAGAATTAAGATATTTTGGCATCCCGATATAGTCAGTTGACTCCATCACTGACTATCGGGGGCGAGTCTTTGGCCCCCGCGGAGAGGGCTCGCAATCTGGGAGTCCTCCTGGATATGCAGCTGTCCTTGGAGGAAGATCTGACGGCTGTAGCCAGGGGGACCTTCTGTCAGGTTCACCTGATTCACCAGTTGCAGCCCTTTCTTGATCGGGATTCCCTGTGCACAGTCACTCACGCCCTCGTCACCTCGCGCCTGGACTACTGCAATGCTCTCTACATGGGGCTCCCCTTGAGGAGCACCCGGAGGCTCCAACTGGTCCAGAATGCTGCCGCGCGGCTAATCACGGGAGCCGCCTGGCGCTCCCATATAACACCGCTCCTGCGTGAGCTGCACTGGCTCCCAGTGGTCTTCCAGGTGTGCTTCAAGGTGTTGGTTACCACCTTTAAAGCACTCCATGGCATAGGACCTAGTTATCTTCGAGACCGCCTGCTGCTACCGACGGCCTCCCATCGACCTGTGCGCTCCCACAGAGAGGGCCTCCTCGGAGTGCCATCAGCCAAACAATGTAGGCTGGCGACCCCCAGGGGGAAGGCCTTCTTTGTGGGGGCACCTACTCTCTGGAATCAGCTGCCCCCAGAGATAAGGAGAATCCAAGACCTCGGTGCCTTCCGCCGTGCCCTTAAAACTTTCTTTTTTTCAGCAAGCCGGGCTGGCTTAATATATTTTTAAAATATTTTTAATTGGTTTGTTATTTTAAATTGGGGCCAAATTAATATATATCTTTTTAATTGTTTTTAATGTTTGTATTGTATGTTTTTATCTGGCTGTACACCGCCCTGAGTCCCTCGGGAGAAGGTGCGGTATATAAATTCGAAATAAAATAAAATAAATAAAATGTGAAATGTTAGTACCAGAGGTGGTATTCAGGAACAATAGTAGAAAGTGTGAAAAATGGTCATAACTCTTTTTTTCCCCCAGTGCTGTTGTAACTCTGTTGAACTTTAGTGAACCATTCAACTCTGAATGGTCACTAAATGAAGGGTTGTAAGTCAAGGACTATCTATAGTAAATCAATTAAGTACATTGCTCATTGGAATTAGGAAGCACAAAGCCAGTATTGTAATGAGAACCGAAGCTGCATCCCTTTGGATTGGACTTTTGACCCGTCTAGTCCATCAGTCTATTCTCAGGAGTGATCACCCGATAGCACAAGGAAGTCCTCTGGTCTCCCAACAGATGGCCTTCAGAGGCAGTCCCACTGCCATGAAGACCAAAAGCCCCATATCCCCCAGGTTTATTTATTTATTTGTTTATTTATTAAATTTTTATACCGCCCCCCCCCAAAGGACTCGGGGTGGTGAACAGCCAAAATTAAAAAAACATACAATATAAACGAGCTCCTCCCGGAGATACGGAGGATCCCGGATCTGCGTACCTTCCGTCGCGCGCTTAAGACGTTCCTATTTCATCAAGCTGGCCTGACCTAAATTTTCCTCTTTTAAATGGGAATTTTAAATTTGGTTTTAAATTATTGGGGTTTTAAAATGGTTCAGCCAAATTTATTTAATTTGTTTTATCTCTATTTTAAATTTTGTATCTATATGTTTTATTTTATGGCTGTTCACCGCCCTGAGTCCTTTGGGAGTAGGGCGGTATACAAATTTAATTAATAAATAAAATAAATAAATAAATAAACATTAAAATACTATAAAAACGAAATTAAATTTATCTTTGGCTTCCCCAATTTAAAACCCCTTACCCATAAAATTCCCCAA